GTATGGATCTCGGACATTATCTACCATTAGATAAAGATGCAAACTACACGCTGGCAACGTTCCATTTTACCATCGCTTGGAAGACGTTTGAACTGTTTAAAAATAGACCAGTCAAATTATTAAAATTATTTCAACAAAATGATATCTGTTCTGGAGGTAAATAATAAACAAATGAATTAGTTATTCAAAAAATTGATAAAGATAGCGATCTTCTCAATTTTTTTGAAACTATCTGTACGCATAGTCTTTGAAGAATGAGTAGAAGAAAAGGTTTTAGTAGAAGAAGAAAATGTTTGTAAATTTGTAAGAGAATAAATAAATTTTGCAATGCCCCACTAATGTGTTTATTAATTAATACTGAATATTTCTCCTTTTGTCGGTATTCAAAAAATCAACTACTATTAAAAATAACTTTTTTGTATAGGGTAAACGTCTAATTTGATTGGCCTATAAAATTTCTTTACAACATGAGTCACTGTAGGTGGTATTCTACTGTAGTGTGAGACTAATCCAAATTACATCAGTGGCGTATCTTAACATTTTTATTATTGGTAAACTTCTTAAAAATTCCACCTGCTCTTATCTTAGTCATTATTTGAAATATCGAACTGATTTTTGTTTTGTTTAAAAGCTTCGAACATTAATTTTCTTGTAAGACATTTTATAATTAGTATGAGACGAGAATACAGTGTGTCCTTTTCATTTGTGTGCCCATTCCCTTACATGAAAAACTATAAGTTTCATAAAAGTTCAAAGTAAAAGATAGTTATGCTAAACAATTCTTTACATTTTTTAAACGGAATATCCTATTGTTAAATTGCGCCTAAAAAGATAGATTCGAAAATAATATGCTCTTGCATTCGATTTTTTTTCAACTAATCAGCGATCTTCAGTGAAAAAATGTATATTTAGAAAATAATATAACTATAAGTACCCTGTATATAAAATAAGAAAAAGTATTCGCAGGAATAACTTTTATCTGAAACTTTTCATTTATAATCTTTATTTTCAAATGTAGGGTTAAGACCAAACAAAACGGCTGCCCTGTGCAGTGTCTACTTGGTGAGAGCAACAAGCTGCTACGGATACATACATGAGAGAGGGTAAAGGGAAATTTGAAGCAAAGACATCTGGGTGTAATGACTGTAATGAAAGAAACCTATGTAATGTTTAAATAAAAACAAATTCCAGGCGATTTTGCGAGTTGCAAGTAAGTGCCAGATGACGGTAAAATTGTTATTTCAAACTATTGAAAAAAGTTACTTATAACACTGCAGAAAACAATCCTATAATTATTGTACCATTATTAGGTATATGGGGTATTTAAGTATGTGTTAAACCTCCCTTGATCAACTTTAAGTCAAATAGTTCATATAAACGTAGGTACTGAACGACTTTTTTTTTAAACCTTATGAGTCAACCCTGCAAACACCACTGGTAAAACCATAAAAATCAAATTGAAGAGCGATTTACTGTTATATCTATATCTAAAAAAAGGAAGTAAGTTATGACGTCACAAAAAAATTACATCTGCTGTATAAAAATTTTGGATCCAAGCTCTCAAAAAAAAAAAAATAATTTCAATATCTTAAATAATAACTAAGATAAAAGTGAGTGGAATTTTTAAGAGGTTTATAAAAATCTTGAGAAACGCCTCTGGTGTAACTTGGGCTAGTGCCAATTTTAACAGTAAGGTTTACAAAGAGTTTTTAAAGGTAATGGATTCCCATGTTTAAATTAGTTTCTTTAGCCCTTAGGTATTCAGATACGTCTAATTATTATATTGGATTTTTAATATTACGGAAACATATACGGGATTTCTGCTTGGTAAAAAGTTAATTTAGCTTGCAATGAACCTGTTGATACAAAAAATCTCAAAATCCGATTGTTTTGTAGATACGGCATTTGTTTTTTGGACGGCATTAACATTAACTTCATTAATTATCTTACAAACTTGTTGCATGATCCATAAGAACAAGTCGAAAAATAAATCGAATACTTTGACATATGTTGAGTCACAAAATTGTTTTAGAAAGCTGCTCAGGAGATTTATGATATTACAGAATTTTATAATGACGGGATGTAATATGTTTTTTATTTTGTTCTATTTTATTTTAGATGTATGTATTAATGTTTGTTTATATTATAATGACCATTTATTTCTTTGTGTTTTGTATAACAATATTGTGTTTGCCAATAAGTATTTTAACTTGGACAATAAACTCTCTCTCTGTCGATCTCTTTAATTTATTGATGTTTTTGTTAAAAGTTTGGTTAGAATTAAATGTCAGTGGAACCAACATGACATCACACAGAACTAGCGCATTAGTACTTTTCCTGTTTAAACTGGAGTGCGTTTAGAAACCCCGCACGGCGCGTCTGGGACCTATTCTAATGGATGTGGTCAGACGCGCCGTGCGGGGTTTCTAAACGCACTCCTGTATTAAAAAAAAACCTTTCAATTCTGAGATATAGCTGCTAACAGCCTTTGATCAGATATCATACACTCCGATTTACGAAAACGGCTGGGTATAGAAAAAACAGGGAAACTAATATTTTGGTTTGAATAATTTAACGAAATTTAAACATAAGTTTTCGACACATATCAATTCGTGTTTATATTTAAAATATTTTATTAATTTGCGTTGCTAAATCATGATTTTAATCGTGATTTAGTGATTTAAATCAGCCCAATCCTAGTTATTTCTGAAGTGCTGTAGCGAATAAATCGTTCATTTGAGCAAAAATTATGTTAGGTCATAAAATTTTGGAAATTTTATGTATATTATTGCTTAGGGTTATTATAAAAAAAAAACAAAAAATCTTTTGTAACTTTTTTTTGTTGCCATCGAAAACACTATACAGTGCTTCTCAAAAGTCCCCTCCCTCCCCCTTTTCTTTTGAACGGTAATACTTAGACTGATGAAATTTGGAGGGTAAAAATGAATATTGTAAGCTTCTCTACTACTGGTAACAGGTGACGTAATAGTTATCGGTGTGCGTCACCAGGCAACTGAAACCAATAATATTAAATGGGACAATACCATCAAAAACATCGTAAATCCAAAAAAATAGTATGATTGAATAGGTATTCTAAATACCTTTCAAACGAGGTGTCACTTAATATAAGGTCCTATTTAATATTATTGGTTTCAGTTGCCTGGTGACGTCACCGATGCCTATTACGTCACCTGTCACCACTAGCAGAGAAGCTTACAATAGTTTATTTTCACCCTCCAAATTTCATCAGTCGTATCACCGTTGAAAAGAAAAGAGGGGGAGAGGGGACTTTTGAGAAGCACTGTATAACAAAAATCTTCCCTATTTATTGAAAGGTCGTTTGTGCTATGAATCACCGTATGATTGGACTTTAAGTTATTTTTTTTGGTATTTATATAGGTACTTGAACAAAAAATATTTTCTTTTTCGAATAAAGATAACAAAATAATCATTTATCTGGTACCGAATGAACCAATATCAGACGAGTCAAGGTAGGTATGTCATTACTGTATACACATTTATTTAAATTTTTATGTATTATTGTAAATTTATACTCCAAGGTCATGGCGGCATTACATATTTTTAAAAAGTTCGCTTTGCCAATTTCTTTACTCATCAAAAAAAGCCAGTGTAATTATTTTCAATTCTAATAATTATTTTGCACAAACGAAAATATATCTATCGTTTCTTTTATTGTTAAGCTATTCAAAAATCCCAATTGTGGGTAATTCTTGACGAAATTCCAATGAATTTAATGCGAAAGAAAAAACGCTCGTTAAGAAAGAAAGCATTTCGAGATTTTTATCAAAACTGACAATCGCACTTTTGAAGAATTAATTAATGACTCTCTTACATCGAAGTACATAATTATTGAATTTTGAGAAATTTTTCATGGCTTAATCTATTTGTGAATTTACTAATAAAATTACATTCTAAAGACATTTTTCCTGCTTTGTTATAACTAATGCACATTAAATTATAATATTTTATACCAAGGGCTGTCGTTAAGACATTAATTTATTTATATTTTTTTTTACATTTGTAATTTTTATAATCTTTAATTGATCTTTTTGAGCAATATTTATAAATTAGATGTATACATAAATTAGTTGCCTAATAGCGTGATGTAGATCGATAATGTCTACATTTTAAAAAATATTTTTAATAACTGTCTTTTAATAAAAGGTGCCTCTCTTAAGTTATTTTATTGGTTGCAATTTTAAATTGTTACAAAATAAAAATAAGATCAAGATCAACTTTGTGTTTTATAATAAATAAATTTAGAAAAATTATTTTTTAACCTAAAATATTGAAATGCATTTGGTTATTGTATCAATGTATTTAGTGTTCTTGAATATCTTATAGGACGTTTAAACATTTAAAGCATAGTAGCTTGTTGATCATTTACTCTTAAGTTACACTTTTTTACACATTAGATTATGGGCCAGTCTTTTTACCCTGAATAAAGTTGAAAGATACTTACTGATTAGACTTACTTGGCAGATAGGAGAACTGTAGTTTATATTCTAATCAGCAAGTAGTTACTTTCAATTTTATTCAGAGGTGAAAAGACTAGCCCTGTATTTACTATAAAAAATTAAAATAAACTTACTTTAGCAATAAACTTTTCGGTCGTTTTTATTGTAACTATTTTTGCTTAATTTCGTTTGGTCCCTTTTGTGTAATTTGCTTACTGAAGTTGCTAGTACGTTGCTTATTTTTTAAACAGAACTTTGATCACCGATTCGAGAATGCAGCCCCTGTATTATTCACTTTTAACAGTCATTGAAAACCATCACTTTTATCGATCGCACTAATTGAAGATTACCCCTCGTATTACTTTACTAATTACAGCGGCGTTTTCGAATCCAAAACAAAATGCACAATTATTGAAACCCGTTTAAATCGTTTTAAGGTAGATTTTCACATACAATTGACGAAATTAATTCTGGAAAAGATGCCTTTGTAGTTCTTTGGGCCATATTTTTTTATCTTTTTAGATTGGCCGTCAACAACGCACCTTATTTGGCTATCCTCGGAATCAAGGATCCCATACATAAGCAGAAGATCTCGCTAAAGGCGATGGATGTGGTTCTGTTCGGACCGCCCAAAGGTAGGATACAATAATTATTCGCTTCTCGATATTGTCGGGACACATCATTATAAAGCGCTTAGATAAATTTTTTTGATGGTATTTTGGAGAATCGGTTATGATTTTTATGAGAAACGATTGAACGTTACAATAGAATAAACTATTGTCTTGTTACTTTGTGTATCGACCCGTGACAAATATTTATTATGAATTATTTTTTTTTTTTTTCATACATTTTCGTCGTAATTTATGTCAGAATTTTGTTGTGCAACATATGCGGATAGGTGGTTATTAACGATTAATGTTCAGTTAAATAATTTCGGTTATGAGGTTTTGTTATTAGCTTTATAGTGTATCTTCTGTGGGTTCAATTATATTATTATGGATTAGTTTTTTATCTATATGGACGATTTTGAAGGTTTGTAATATTTTTTATTTCAATTACTGAATTGGGAATAAAAATATAAGAAATTAAAATATTTTTATAGTATTTTACTTTTAAATATTATAGTTTGAAACCCTAATGCCCTGAGAAGTAAACACTACAAACTGAGAATTGATTGAAGGTCGTAAAAAATAGTTTAAAGGTAGATAAGTATGTAACTAAATTATTTTTAATTTAGATATTGCAGTGGTTATGCTTTTAGAGGCATATGGTCTTAAACAAAATATATAAAAATAAAATTTCAATTAACCTCTATTTTTATTTAATGTTTTACACAGTTACTAAAGGATTATTTAACTAAAATGTCATCTACTTGGTTAAGGAATGTATTTTAAGACCTTCGTTTGGCTCATTTTTTACGTTATCACTAATGCAACTAATTATGAACGAATGTCTTCCACTAAGGAACTCATTAAAAAAAATGCATTATTTCAAAATGATGTAGGATTTATAAATGATACAAGCAAATACATATGTGTGATACTTAGCCGACGAAATTTCGTAAAGTTGACGCATGACTTATTGTGGTGTGGAATATGGTTATCTGATTGGTGGTGAGCAGATTAAAATTTATAATCGCGCACTGTTCTGGATGAGCGTTACCTCAAATTCGTAAAAGCCACGCCTTCAACGACATTACGTCCCCGTGACGTATAGTATCAATCTGCATAATATACTTTTCTTTTAATAGTATCATGGGATTTATAGGAAATAAATGTTTCAGTTTCAATCCCATGTCTTACTAGACTGTCAATGTCTAATAATACTTACGTTAAAATAGTCTAATAGCTATCGACAAGGTGGTACGATATCCGGCTGGTATTTTGTGTATTGGTAGGCGGGACCTTTTGGAAGAATTTAGTTTAAAACCTCTGCAAACGAAACGCCAGGCAACTCAAATTTTTTGTTAAAATTTTCAATATATATATTTGATTAGATAACTCACTTGACATAGCCCGTTAGCTCAGTTTTATAATCATTGAACATTCTTTCAAATTTGCATTTTGCGACACGGTTCAATTCACGATGATTTCAAATTTGACTGCATGTTCAATGCTTAACAAACTGAGTTCATGGGTCATGTCAAGTGAGTTATCTAATCATTTATGTGTATTGTATTTTTTTAACCGATCTTTTTTGACTTGTGCGACGTCTTGTTTGCAGGGGTTTTAAACTAAATTCTAGCAGATTTCCTGATGGTCCCGCCTATCATTTCCCAAAATTCCAGCCGGAGGTACGATCGTACCACCTTGAGGATGCTAGCTCTCGGCCTAAATTTAAACTCATAATTTGGCTTGATTAAAATGTGTAACGGTTTTTAATTTTGTCTTTTTAACAATTGGTGGTTTGAGAAATGAAATTGTTACATCTTAAGAGCCAACAGTAGCGCGTCGTAATATTCCATCGAATTTCTTCAGTTCCCCGCGCAGCGCCACGTTTTAGGTAAACTCCGATAGCAAGAATATTTCTTTGGGAATCATGTAATGACCTGAGATAAGGGCTAACGACGGTTTTTTACGTTTCTTTCGAATTTTAAGCAACATTACGCCGTTATATCACGTAGAATGCTATACAACAAATCTTCCGAATTCATTTCCCTCTGTCATCACCGTATTTGGTTTTAAATTTTTCTCGTAAGAAATTGAACCAGTTCTATTAATGCGTTCCATTAATTTTTCAACAGCTCACTTATTGGGTTTTCGACGATTTGGATAGCGTTGATGGTACATTCATTCAGTTACAGTACACAGTTTCTACTATATTTACGCAAAATCCATATCATATCTATACATTCTTCATTTGAAAAATTCATATCGGCAGATTTATATTTTATATTTTTATTGCTTAAACAAAAGCTTTTCGAGTAATACGGAAATATCAAATCGCACGAAATGCATTTAAACTAGCTAATTTGGCTCAAAAGAGCAATAACTTGTTACATTAAAAATTAAAAAGGTACAGTTTTAGTTGTTAACGTTAAAAAAAATATTTAAAATTAAAACATAAAAGAATTAAAACAAACAGAATGTACTCGAGCTGAAAATAAAAGGACTTTCCATACATGGCATTCAATTACTTATAAATTGAATATTATTGGCAGAAACTGTTAGAAAATACAAACTAGCTGTTGTCTGCGGCTTTGAACACGTGGAGCTGTGTTTTTAAAAAATAAAAAATGCATGACTTCCCAAAAAAAAGGAGCGATAATGTTTTTAGGGTTTATGGTATGCATATTATAGATTAAAGTTAAGTTGAGTATTCCAATCTTTTAGTATATTAATCTAATTAAGAATCTCTTTGTATACTACATTTCTGGTACGATTCTCATCTGCTAATATCAACAGGTTGTATGCGAAACTTGACTCTCTAACAGGTCACATAAAACTGTCCGTGAGAAAAGCGGTCCTCCCTTAGGCTATCGAGTTGTCGGGACATCGAGATATGTCGTTTTTAACAATTAACTCCTCATATTTTTCATACCAGGTCGTAAGAAGTTTCACTTATTTGTTTTTATTTTAATTCATTTTTATTTCACTATCGTTTCCCTCCTTTAAAATATGGAAACTCAAAATCCTGTAACACGTCATTATTAGCTACAATTCCAATTTTCAAGTTCCTACCTTTAAAAAACCGATAGCCCCATACAATCTTTCAATCCCATAAAAAGTGAAAATCCAAAAACCCTAAAATATTTCATTATTTATTTAAGATGATGAGCTACAATTGCAATTTTCAAGTTTCTACCTTTAAAAAATCAATACTCGCATACAAAGCTTTACCTCCCGTTTCCCCCCTTAAAATGTTAAAATCCAAAAATCCTGAAATAAAGGGTGGTCCATATAGTACGGTTTCTTTTTAAAAATTCAAAAAAATTAACAAAACTCAATTTTGTTCAATATATTTTTGGTTTATTCGAAAGAACAAACATTTCTATTATTTATGGAACACGAATTCATTTATGTGCCTGCCTGGGCTGGCTTTGCAATTTTAACCCAATTTTAAAAGACATTGGTGACGGTTTCTGGCTCTATCTCACGAATGGCTTGCTCGATGTTCACCTTAAGGGCCTGAATTGTTAATGGATTGTTCGCATAACATCGGTCCTTCACGGCACCCCACAAATCTAAAGGCGTCAAATCGCAACTGCGAAGTGGCCAATTGACATCGCTGAGACGGTTGATAACACGATTACCGAACTTGATGCGCAAAAGATCGATTGTGGCATGACGCACTATCCTGCTGAAACCAAAAATCCTCCAAGTCTATGTCTTCAATTTCCCGTCACACCAAAATGGTTTATCATGCCTCTGTAGCGCTCACCGTTGCCCAAAATGGCGTCACCAGCAGCATTTTCAGAGAAAAATGGGCAAATGATGCCACCGCTTTAAAATCCGCACCAAACTGTCACTCTCTGAGGATGCATTGGCTTCTCGACGATCACGTGCGGGTTTTCCGATCCCCAGATGCGGCAGTATTGCTTGCTAACAAAGTCGCCGAGATGAAAATGCGCTTCGCCAGAAAAGATGATTTATCAAGTAAAATCGTCGTCCATTTCGAGCTGCTCTATGGCCCAAACTGCAAAGCGATAACGTATCGAATGGTCGTGTACCTTTAAACGCTGATTCAATTGGAAAGAGATATATTAATGTTTTGTCAAGATTTCAAATGGGAAAAAGCTTTCAGTGTCAAAATAACATATGATTTAAAAAAACAGTAGATGGGCCACCCTTTACGTCATTATTTATTTATTTTTGGGACGAGAAATCATAATTTAAGCCTAAATATCACCTACCTCATTGAGGGCGCTAGTTGCAAGTATATTGAACATGATGGGACCAATCGAAAAAAAAAAAAAAAAATAATAGAGGTTTCTTACACTGACCTAAGAAATCTATGGTTAACGGATTGGCCTACTTTTTTGGGATATAGAATGGACAGATTATGAACAATCTTAGTAATTATTAACTTTAGATATAGGGAGTACTTAAAAATTAAAAATATATGTATACTTAAAGTAACAGTATATATTTCACATAAAAGTGGCTTCATGTTCGAAAGTACGCAGTATAACCTAGTAAAAACATAGAAAGTGGACGGAAGTCAAATTTAAAATAAAATGCAGGGTGTTCTATTTAAAAAATATAACTTTGTAATGTCTACCACATAATGAGACACACTTTATATAATTTTAAATTTGAAACTTAGATTTGCCTATGATTTATATTAATAAGTTTTCTTGTATCTCTCGAGATAACGCAGATTTAGAACTACGTCAGAGATTTGGGACACCATGTCTAACGTAGACTTGGCGCATATATGAAACTAAGACGCACCTGAGTTTGAACCTGTATAATTTACATTGGTTCATTTTTACATTAGCGTATTAAAAGAATATATAATTTTCGTGACGGGCGTTAGACATACACGAGGTCTGTCCCTAATGCATCCGATTTTAAGTTGTTGTAACTTAAAACATAAGGCTCAAACACTTTCGGGTAATACTTCGTATTTTGCCAATAAAATTAAATTAAAAAAATCGTATTATTTGTTTGCAACAGATGCACATCATTGGAAAGATTTAACTCTGATATTTTTCACCATCCTCGGCGGCTTCGGCAGTTGGTGGGCCTATAGGCAGAACAAGAAGTTCAAAAATCACTTGAACAGGATGAGTCGCGACATGGACGGCCTACAGAACGCCGAAAAGGCTCTGGAAAATCTCCAAAAGGAATTGGAGCGGGCGAGACAAGCTCAAGAAACTGTGATAACGGAAAAGCAGGATTTGGAGAAGAAACTTCAGGATTCCAGGAGCGAATTGAATTCGTTGCCCAGCTCGTACTCCGATTTGGAGGTGACGCAAATGAAAGCCGAAATCGAGGTTAGGATTTTATTTTGTCTTTGAAATATCCATCGTTATTTTATCCTTTTTTAAAACGTTTTTAGATGCTCAGAAGCGAATTGCAACTGGCCGAAGGCGAATTAAAAGACAGGTGCTGGGCTCCTCCGGTCGCTCTACAGCAATGGCTTCAACTGACCTACGAAATAGAAAACAAAGCTTACCTCAAGAAGAAAATCGGAGCTGAAAAGCAATTGCAGCAAGCCAGAGAAGCTGTAAGTACAAACTTAATTATAATATACAACTGAATTAAAAAAAAATGTGCATGGTACTCATTCTCTAGTCCTATTACATAAACTATAATTTTACAATAGTTATAATTCTTTAACGTTCGGTACATTTGAACTACTGGCGGTACCAAGGGGTAAACCGCAAGCCAAAAGGACCAGACATACCTCTTAACAACTTACTATGATTACAGATATTTTTCGAGCAATAATGATTTACTGATATCAAGCAATATTTTAAGTACAGCATGACTTAAATTATTAGTTACAGTTGAGATATGCGATATATAATTTGGTAATTACAGATATGGCCAATTTTACCCATTTCCTCACCACTCACTTCACCACTCATGCCCAGAGTTAGTTTTTGGTACACAATTGCAATCTTTATACGCCTGACATCAAAAAAATATTCAGTATCCATCTAAAATACTTTAAACAGTATGATGTAAAAGTATGGAATAAATTGATTATTTTCAAAGTAATCAACTTTGACGTATTTGCGAAAAATATACGTCACCTTTGTTTAACTGATGACGTAATCGATTATTTTTTAAATAGAAACATGTCATTTGCTATCTCATTTAAAAGGTAATTTAATGGGAAGTTCAGCAGTATAATAATGAATAGGGACCGTGTGTCATGACTTTAACGCTAACTGGTGACAAAAATGTGAACTTTATGGGGGGTATTTATTAATGTTTTATACAGCTATTATTGTTTAATAATTATTAATTAAATAAAGTCGAATATCATTATCGAAAAAACTTGTTGCATTTGTGGATGTACAAACGCATCACTTTGGAAACCTGGATTTTATCGATAGTAAAGAAATTTTATAAATTTCCACAGAGCACAACAATTAATGTCTCACACCCAATGATATACATAATTACAAAGATTGCCTAACATATGTAAATCAGACGACGAAAAGCGTATTCCACTGGGCAAAGTTTACTTTTTATCTAGCTTGTATCAATTTTGAGCACTTAGTTGTAAAGAAATCATTTACAGAACCGGTTTAGAAATTAGAATCTTTAGTGTTTTCTTGTCATTAAGATTTTTACATATTTAAATGAACATTTTATATAAATATATTTTTACAGATAATTAATAGTTTATTCTGTTGATTAAAACTAATGTAGAATGTTATTATGAAATAAGAATGTCCAATTTGACAAAAATATCATGGCCCTCTTTACAATTTAATAACTATTTCTCATTTATTATTGAAGAGATTGCAACAAACTTTAAAATATTAAAAATCCAGTGATTTTTTGTAAATTTTTTTAGTGACATTACCATTAAACATTCAGAATAATAGATAAGTTTCCATTACAACTCTTACCAAAGTTGTTTATACCTCATATCAAAGTTGTTTACATTACCTTTTCAAAATTGTATTACATATTGCAATTATGTATTTTCTGTAGTATTATTTCTGAAATGAGAGTAGTCTAAAATTATTTATATCCATCTGTTATAAAAATTGTTTAGATCTCTTAATATTATTTAACTACATGGAAACTCAACTTTCCAAATACATAATAACATGTCTTGAAGTAAAACTTTAATTATTTTCTTTTTCTAAAGATTAAAATGCTGAAATTTTATTTTAAAACACATTTGGGCTAGAACGGCTCTATTTAGTGAGCACTAGGAAAGTCACATTGCAACCCGCTTTTCATAATGCGCTAGTTCAGTGATGATGTAATTATGGTTCCACTGACAATTAAAGTGACAGTAGATTTTTTGAGTGCGTTTTGTTCGTTTTATTTACCTAAATTATATCGTTTTTTTCACTTTTATAAATATATTCCTAAAGTAAGTAGATAGCATGTATCAAATATACAATCGTTTAGTTACCAATTACATACCTTTAAACTATTTTTTATGACCTGTAAACAATATTTTGAAATAAAATAAAAACAGTAAAAACGTATATATCAAATTTATTGATGTTTTTGTTAAATGTTTGGTTAGAAATAAATGTCAGTGGAACCAAAATGACATCACACTGAACTAGCGCATTTTTTTTATAGATGGTTGAGCATTCTATAATATGTATCATTGGACATCTCATAAACGTCAGTGGATGAATGACATTTCGACTAACATAAAGCTAAAAAGATTTATTATTATTATTATTATCTTTTTTATTAATTTACATTTTTTAAATGTTATTGTAATACTTTTAAATTCAGTGTTACTAAATACCGATATTTTGACATTGGATACACTTGTTTAAGGTACAACTTTACAATTTATTGTCACTTAGCCATTTAAATCTTTTTGCTTAAAATGTATATACATGTCCAGATTTTAATAATGTTTTACATTTTACGTCATTTTGACCATGTACACGATTGTTTGGTACGGCCGGTATCTATTTTTAACTATATTTAATATTTTAAAAAATATCCTTTATTATTTACTTGCAATGTTTACCACATTTAATTCTAAAATTAAACACTAGAGAGGGCTAACTTCGGCAGTAGTGCTGCCTCTATATTTCACGCACGGTCCCTATAACCCAGACATAGATCTAAACGCCCTCTTGTGCATACACAAATTATTATATAAATTGAAGTGTGTCACCTTATAATAATTTATCTCCAAATGTATGTTCAACTTTACCTACTTATGGTAGGTTGTCATAGCAAAATTAAAATCAAATTATCTGAAAAACTGATCATAGAAAGTAGACAAAACTTATACATGTGAATAACAAATTTAAGGTAGATAATAAGAAATAAATCAGAATGTCACCCAGACAATAATAAAATAAAAGGGCGATTCGCAATAAAATCCAATTTTTGTAATTTTATTCAATACATATCTTTTGAATGCCTCACAGTATGTCATTTAAAAATTCTTCTAAAAATAGATACGGAGGCGATCAACTTTTTGACCTGCTCTGTATAAAATATTTAAATATCTTATTATTAACCTTAGATTAAATGGGCCAGATATTTAAATATCTTATTATTAACCTTAGATTAAATGGGCCAGATATTTAACATACACTGGTGTTTAACCTGCACCAATGTTACCAATTTCTAAAGAAAGGGACTGGGAGCTGACCCGAAATCTGTAGCAGGGACGGAATTGGCTTATTAGATCTTTATTAGATGTTTAATGGAATATTGTATTATGAAATAAAATTAACGTGATTTTTTAACAGTTATAACGACATTTTATGTAAAGGGAAGACAATAGTTATTTTATAGATTATTTCGTTATCGTTTATTTACTACGGACTTTTCTGCAAGATACTACAATATAATGTTAAAATAGAATATTGTTAAACGAGCATTGCCTACGAGTATTATAATGTCAACATGTACCGCAGGCGAATACTGTAAATCAAACCAGTAGGAAAGAAGCATTTCTTGTGAGTTGAAAATTATGTTTTTTCTACGACTATTACATACTATAAAAATTTTGTCAAAATGAGAAAATGCTGTTTTGTATTGTAACCTTAGAAAAAGGTATATTAAAGCTTTTTGATTTAGGAATACTAAATATAGAAAAAGTGTCGCATAAAACTCTAGAAATACATATTTCTAAAACCAGATAACATAAAATTTAAATCTAATAAAAAAAATTCCGTTGCTAGGGGTGGGTGATTACCGAATTAAATTAACGATTATTGAAAATAATCAATTATTTTCAACTATTTTTTTCGTAAACCTAATTATCGATTATTTTGAATTAATCTATTTTCTTTTCATATTTCCTTTATAATGGATTAATCGATTCGATTCAAGATAAATCGATTTTTATATAAAAAAAACGAATAATAGATTCATTGATTATTTTTTTAATCCCTAACGGTTGCTTTCTTTTATCTGAACATGTTTTCAAAATTCAGAGATTTTTTGATCCCGTTATCTTTAAAACCGCATTCGATTGTATAATAAATAATAAATATTGCAAGAATATAGATTTTTCTAAACAAATTCAAGAAATTTGACAAAACGTAAAAAAAATATTTTTTTATAAAAATTGTTCAAATAAAAGTTGTTTGTAATATAATTCTCTATAATTTTTATCCTATACATAATTTCTCTAAAATTGACCGTATTCGAGATATTTGAGAAAATGTGTAAATTTCGAAATTTGAAGAAAACTCAAAAACTGATAAAGAAAAAAAAACATTAAATTTTAAACTTAAGTTTTATTTCGGCCTGACGTGAAATGATTAGATTTTGGACAAAGTCGGAACATCTGGGGGGGTACTTTATGGGAGGCCGTTTTTGTATTTTATGGAATATATCTGTTATTTATGTTTGGAGAAAAAATTGTTCAAATAAAAGTTACTTCTAATATTATTATCCATAATTTTTGCTTAATGTCAAACTTTCCTGAAATGGTCCGTATTCGAGAAATTTGACAAAATGTGCAAAATTCTGATTTTTATGAAAATTGTTGAACTAAAAGTTGTTTGCGATATCGAATTTTTGTTTATACATGATTTTTCAGTATTTTCGTTTTCAATGAATATCTATAGAAAAATGTTTCGAGGTAGATGTATGTGTAAAATGTATATATTTAGTTTATCCTCTAAACATTTATAGAGGTGCTGCAATAGGTTGTACAAAATAACCGGAAAAAGCCTATAATAACTAGATAGGAAAGTTATGTGTTGGACACATCAGATTTGTAACTCTATGTTCATTTAAAGCAAGTTTTAAATCGTCTTCACTAGACGATAAGTCTAAGATAAAATCATCACCTTCTTCATCACTCATAATTAAATTAGATACTATCCAAGAACAAACATAATTAAGCAGAAAGTCTGAAAAACAATTTAATTTAAAAACGTAAACACCACCAAGCGATACCAACTTTTAGTTTCGTATCGAAAAGACCGTACAGAAACCGATTCCCGAACGCTCCCATGTTTGGTTGGAACGCTAACCGGACGGTACAATGAATCGTCAATTCTCGAATGGGACGGACTTTATTTACTGCGCATGACTATGACCGTACGATGTACGGTTTTCTGTTGGGTTGGAACAAACCTAATATTATAATTACCGTTTACTATTTAATTCTTACAATTCCTTTAAACTTGTAAATTCCTCGTAATTCACTACCCTTGTACACTTAATTCTCTCTGCGGTTTACACCCCGAGCGGAACATTGAATTACGGGTCCAATTATAACAAAAATGTTTTCAGTGCGAAAAGCTGAGAAAGAAGCGCTCCAGTTTAGTGGGCGCGTTCGTCTCCACCCACGGTAAATCTATCGACGAAGTCGATAGGAGTATCGTAGAAGCCAGAACTGCATTAAACGAAGTGACTCAAGAACTGCAAGAACGCGCCCTTAGATGGAAACAGATCGAAATGTTGTGCGGCTTTAATATAATCAATAATAACGGATTTAATTATCTGGAGAATACGCTTTATCGAAATTTTAATAGTAGAGGAGGAGGAGGATTAAGAGGTAAGTTTTTGAATAATGAATTGCTTGTTGTATTGTACCATCACATATTAGAAATAGACCTTTTAGTAGTCATATATCACGAACAATTAATAATTGTAAATAATAGATTAGTGTTAAAGCATAACAGATCGATTAGTAAACTTCTAATTTTTTGGATTATCTTTTGTGCCCGTTCTGGTAATTTCTGAGTTTATCAAGTATTTCTTATTCTGTTATACCTACTTAATCCTTTTAAAATTCATTTAAGTACACATCCCATCTATCTTATTATTATATGTACTGTAACAACTCATGTTTATAAATTATTTAAATTTCTGCTATTATTTCTAATTTTTTATTTTCATACTTAAATTTCCTGTCATTATTCAATTGATAAACTGTTTAATCTGCCTTTCGACTATGAATGTTATACATGTATTTATATTTTTGAGTGTGTGTGTTTTTCTGATGTGTTATTTTTGTTATTTTTCTCGCAAAGGAGTCCAGAGCAGCACTGATAACTTAGATGACGACACTGGATCCGTCTATAGTGCCTTCCCAGGTAAGACAGTTTCGTTTGACGATGATGACTCGGAAACCGAATAAGTTTTTCTTTCTTTTTATGTTTTGAGTTCTTAATAATGTCAAGAGAGCAGTAGTTTCTTAGTCTAATACAAGATTGTTCATTTTTTATTGTACAATTCTTTTTTTTAAGTTATTATTATTATAATAGTGTATTTTGTTCTTTAATTTTTTTTTTTTGGTTGGGATACGTACCTAAATGTTGAAAATGGAAATGAAGTATTGTTTTTTACTTGTATGGTAGACAGATGGTTTACTGTTGATCGGTAAACCATTGATATTTGTCGTTTTATAGAAATTCGGCTAGATATACTTATATGTGTATGTATCAGAAAATAATAAAAAATTATCAAAAAAAAAAAAAAAAAAAAAAAAATGGATGATTCTTCATTTAATACATCAATTTTGTTAATGCAATATGAAGGACATGTTTTTTATAATTTTCAAATTTGGATACGTATCGTATGTTAATTTTAAATTGGGTTGTTTGCCTGTTTAAGTAACATTTTCCGCTGAAAATCATTGTACTTAGTCGTCAATAGTTACCAGCAAGATACTTACGTATATTTTGCGTAAATTTTGTATGAATTAACAAAGTATTTTATTGCTTTGCGCCACAGTTTATCTCAAATGTCGATGTTTTGAAAATCGGCCAGATTTGGTACAAGCTTTTCTTTTTTGCTTACGAGGGTTTGCTTTTTGGGTTTAGCTCTCTCTCTTTTTAGAGGAAATGAGGATACTTTTCAAATAGCTTTATTACCTATATCAGAGTAAATACAAGGTAAGCCATAGATAAGGAATAAAACTCATATCTTTTTAAACATTCCACTTGAAAACAAAATATTTTTTGTATTTAGAGATTAAGCTGGTGTTCAGGCAAGAATGACATGTGTCATTGCGCTAGAATTCGTTTAGATTATTTACCATAGAATTAGAAGGTAGGGAGACGCTATCGGTATCGGTACCACTGGGCGTGGCTTATTTAGACTCAATATGGCCGATCCGCCAGAACCGGACTATTGAGAATGCAACCCAAACCTACATTTTTTTTTTGAAATTTAAGTTATATTTATCAGTTTATATAAAACGGATGATTAAGGTTATAGTAACTGATTTTAAGCAAGTCTACTTATTAACAAAATAAGTTTAAAGGAATAAAAAAGTTGTGGAAGATTTTAACGTATTTTTTTAGAATAATTACAAAGTCTACAAATATCATTTGATATAATCATGGTTTAACGTAACTTTTATGTTAGACTGTAACTAATCTAATATAAAATAATCAAACGGTTGTTAAATAGGTAGGTATATTATATTTACCACTAAACAATACATGTGATGTCTTATGCTATCTCATTTTTTCAAATTTTTAATATTTGAATATTTGTTAGCTTTTTTTTTAATTAATAGTATTATGGTTATATACAAGGGATGCTGATAAAAACTGAAATTTGCAAATATATTAGTTAGTAATAGGTAGAGAGGTGGTTAACGTCAAACCCCATACGAGGTAATGTTTGTTTACCATAGTCGTATCAGAATTAAAATAATACCACACATTTTAAGTTATTGCCTGCGAAATCGGGCAAACGTATGTATTTATGGACTACAAATAATTATTTAAACAAGTAGTATTCCAAATCATAATTCTACAAAACTTCAACAGCTATTCACAATGTATTAAACTATTTACGTGAAATTTTTATTAGCATCTATAAAATAATTTTCTATGCCAATGTTTTGCGTTCACTTCGGTCATCTCCACGTCAAAACTGTTAAATCATGTGTATGAAGTGGGTGAACTGGCAAAAATATTTTCAACTTGTGTCCCTGCTATATAATACATCTAGAAAACAATTAATGGAGCGTAATAAATGCTGTACACTGATGAAAAAGATATTGAAATGGAAAATAATATTTTACCTTACTTATCGTGCATAAAATGTATGTAATAAAATATTGGATTTTATTACAGTAGCTTCTGTCATGTTAAAACTAATCCAAAAGAAAGAGTCCGTGAGTTTTCATTGGCTTTAAAAATACTGTTTTTACGATGACGTATAAAATTTCTCATGAAAATCTTGAGAAATCATTCTCGCTCGAGTTTGAACATAGCCCCCAGAAATTGCCAGGTAGTGGGGTTATTGTTGTGGCTTCCATGTAAGCGAATATAATTAAAGAATAACTCTGTGTTCTTTAGACATTTGACACATTGGTAAAAACTGTAAATTTCAGTTCCATGTCATTTAAGAACATTTCTATACCTTCATTAATTTTTTTAAAGACAAAGGTATTTTATAATGAAACTGAAGTAAATTTCTAGAATTTAAGTTTTCAAAGATAATATTTATCATTCTTTTAAGTCTTAATTTGTTGCACCAGCTTCAGCAAATTCTCATTTTGAATTCATCTTTACAAAACCCTAATGCGGTTGCAACTAGAGATGAGCAGTATCGTGATTTTCAAGTATCAGTGATACTTGTTCCTGTGACATTCAAATATGGTGATTTCGTGACAAAAGTGACAGCAAATGAGCAAAAGTTTTCTACTGCATACAAATGAAATAAGACTGAAAGTACTAATATTCTATCGAATCTAAACATCCTTCTTTCTATGCTATTTTGTAGAAACACAACTACTGGTTCAAAAGAAATTATTGACAAGTTAGAAAATTTATTGAAATATAAAAAAATATACTTGTTGGAAAGGACATATGACAAGTGACATTATTGACTTGCAAATGGTCGTTTATTCCTTATGGCTTCGATTAGTAAGGTATTATGCATAAAATGACATAACCTACAAAAGGGTATAATATTTTTTATGGATTCTTACCGTTTCCAGTAGTAAAATTGATGTTATGTCACGACTTCAAAGTCACATCGTTTACTATGTTGCATACTTAATTATGGAATGTTACTTCAGATAATTTCTTCGTATGAATATCTGTTAGGCGCTGCTACAACTACGTTGAGCACAAGCGACCATTGTTTAACTTTTAATATTATATAATACATTTAGTTGTTAAACGACAAAGATTTTAAAAACGTTTATTGAAACCGCGATTAGCTGTTTGACGGATTCGCAAACACAATGCCCTGGAAGTGAGCCTGTCTTAGACCACGAGATAGTGTCTCCCTACCTCTTACCTCCATGTTATTTACAGATCGATTTAGGAGCACATCACATCAAATCTGTCAAAAGTTCAAGTGAACTAATTTTAAACATTAAAATTAATAAAAATGGGTTCCCTTTGGTTTTGCAGTAAGTAATGACTCTTAAAGGCCGCTTAAAAAAAATGCTTTATTACAAGGACATTGATAATGTCGATAAGGTATTTAAAAAGGAAATTGCAGCGAGATCTTGCTTTGCTAGTATTATACTAGTATAAAACTGAAAGTGCAGTCATAAAATAATAAAATACAAATTTTGGACAGTCTTAAGTGCTTGTACATAGAAGTAACCCACTATTTTATTAAATGTTTAATTTGCGTAGTTTGTATAATTAAAGGAATCAATTATTCTTCTAAATATATTGCATATGGCAAATTTGTCAGCATTCTTCACACATTCCATTACTACCTATTTTATCTGTTAAATATTAATGTTAAGAATTTGCACTGATTATTTATAAATATATGAAGTTAGATCTGGCAATACCGCTGGTGGTAATGTCGACTAAATGTAAGTACAAATATATAAATTAAAATTGTTTATTTACATGCATTAATGGGATTTTAAGATATGAGTATTATTCCACATATGGCTCACACTGTTTATTTTATGGTGACATAAACATACATATTTATGTCACTGCTGTATTTTACTTAAATTATGACTGCCTTAACGTGCTATAATTATGGTGCTCAATAGGATTACTAGAAATTAGTGTAAATTAAAATTATCTAAAAAAAATGATTCGCGTAATAAACATAACTTTTTTATTAAATTTGAGAAAAACTGTATTATACATTCTTATTGAAACATAAGAAAATGAAACTTTAATATTTTGTACAGATCTGCTTGAATGAATCTCGTAGAGATATGACTAAAAATTAATTTATTAACATAACAATATATTTTTGCTACTAATATATTTCTGTGTTTTGATAGTTTCTTTTTTGCTTGTACATTTGTTTATATGTAGACATTTTATTTATAAATATATGAGGTATTTAGATTTTGTTGTTCATTTGAAGACCCATTTCCTTATTTTTCAATTTGAATGGTTATTTTGAATAGTGATGGGAACATTAATAAAAATTGTCCATTATTAGTCAACAATTTTTATTAAATTTTATTTATAAAATCACAAATTTCAGTAAAGATGTGAATATTTTAAATTGTATTTGTTTGTATTTAATATCTTAAATTTTATTATATACTACATCTTAAATAATATTGGTTTTTATGAATAATTGTTATTACAATTTACTTGAGGTGACACCAAAATTAATGACACACAGTTCCCATCACTAATTTTAGGCTCAGGTAAGCATAAAATCAGCTATACAGGAATAAATTGCTTTCCAGAGCTAAACATATTTTTTAAAGTAAATTTTGTGAAAAAGCTTTTTGGGCAAACCTGAAGATATTACAAGTGGAATTTAAAGACTATATGAAATTTTTTTTCTTGATTTCAAATTAAACATCTTTCTTATATTGAGTAGATTCAAAATTAGTTCGCAGTGACAGCCAGGCAATGTTTAGCCTTGAAGCTGATTGAAGAGGTAAGAAAAATGTATTATGGTGGATGGCCAAAATTAAAACGAGATTGTACAACAAACATAAAAACTTGTAATATTTTTACGTAACAAAGGGATTATTACCAAGACAGTGGCTTAGGTATGAGAGAAGTTCCATGTTAATAATTATTTTTTGTTATTGTTGTGTTTTTGGGAAAGAACAAAATAATTCGTTCACTCAAAATCGAAATCATTTCGGAGGAGAAAAAGGATTATAATATCAATTCTACAGTCAAAATCGTTTCGTTTAATAGCGATAGACACAACTCATGACTAATCCGGGGGAAATACTCTAATTTGTTTAAAAGGGTAAAAGTTACATACCCAATTTTAAGCACTATTATGTGGTATACTGTATTTATTCATAGAGTATTAAGATACGATTGTTATCTACAGGATACCACATGAGGGACGGCGATTCATCTAGCAGTGAAACCAGCAAACAAGAAGATGATTACGGTGGTATCGATTCTAAAGTTGGCAGTAGGAATAATATTCATTTTGCTATAGGCGATGATGGGTAAGTAACCTCTCAAAGCATTAATGTATCTTATTACAGAAGATATAATTGGAGAGCACGTGACAAAAAAATGAAAGAGTTGTCAAGGCTCAAAATTCAGCAATGGTTTGTATTTAGTGTGTAAGTAAATATTCTAGAGTCAGCAGTTTGATTTGGGAAACACCTTAAAAGTTGTCAAAAGTAAAAAAGTAGTCAGTCTGCATAATAACAGATCCGCCGCGTCAGAATCACTGATGGGTTGGAAGTGACCATAAACATGACTGAAAGTGGACATATTCAAACAACTTTTAAAAAGTGTTATTCGCGCATGTACGAAATTTAATTAAATAATTTGGTTGAATTTCTTGCACTCGGAAGGCAAAATATAGTTTAAAAAAGAAGACACAACAAATGACTACTGATGTTTATAAGGGGACGAAGCCTGTTGATTAAAAAAATTAGTAAAAATGGGGGTAAAGGAAGGTTGAAATATATATAAAAAAATGAAAAGCGATATCAACATGAAATTTTTAGAGAAATTAAAAAATTATTTTCTGTGATCCGCTAAATGAACATGAAAGTTTTAATTTATTCGCCACTGTCAAAAATTAAAGCTGGGATGGCCCTTTTTTTGTAGCAGTTATTACAATACAAAAAAAAGCTAAATAATAACCTTAACAAGGAAACCGCAGGAGCCATAAAGAAAGAAAAATCTTAAAATTTCATCACCCTGTAGATAGGTAACAATGTGTTTGCGATCTAAGTATGTTTATGACTTTCTAGCCATGAAATAAGCCAAAGTTGAGATTTTTGTTTCCGATTTTCAAATTATTTCATCCACTTATTTCTCAAATATACTGATTTGCGATTTCTCGGTAATAAATTCACAATTTTTATAACATGATATTTAAAAACACCCTTTATACAGTGTGCCTCGCTTTTCATGAAGGCACCCCAATATCTCAGTTATTAATAATACGATTTTCTTCAAATTTTGGTGGTGATTGTATGTTAGAAAAATGAAGTATTTGGCTTAATGAACATTTTTATTTGCCATTGGCGTTCGGAGTTGGGGGTTAAAAATACTTGATTTTTTGGGAAAAGATATTAGAGCCTATTTTTCTATCAGATCTAGAATCAGCATTCCCAAAAACCACTATAGTCGTATTTTCAAAATCTCAAGAGTTGATTTTAGCAGAAAAAAAATATTTTAACAAACTTTTTCTAATAGGTTGTTTCTAACATTTTTTAAATGCCCTAATCCTATTAAGTTTCAAACACCTCCATACCGTTTCGTTAAATTTAGTATCCTCGCTATCTTTTAGTTTTTGTGTCTCACACCCAATGATGTCCATAATTACATAGATTGCTTATCCATATGTAAATCAGTCGACGAAAAGCGTATTTCACTGGGTAAATTTTTCTTTTTATCTATCTTGTATCAATTTTGAGCACTTAGTTGTAAACAAATCATTTACAGAACCGGTTTAGAAATTAGAATCCTTAGTGTTTTTTGTAAGATTTTTACATATTTAAATGAACATTTTATATAAATATAATTTTATAGATAATTAATGGTTTATTCTGTTAATTAAAAATAATGTAGAATGTTACTGTGAAATTAGAATGTCCAATTTGACAAACATATCATGGCTCTCTTTAAAACTTATTAACTATTTCTCATTTATTACTAAAATAAACAAATAAAAATGAATACATTGTATTTACTGTCAAAAGAGATTGCAACAAACTTTAAATCCAGTGATTATTTGCAAAAATGTTTAGTAACACCATTAAACATAACTCAGAACAAGAGATAAGTGTCCAATTACAAATATTACCAAAGTTATTTATCTCATATCAAAGTTGTTTACATTACCTTTTCAAAATTGTATTTCATATTGCATTTATGTTTTTTATAGTGTTATTTCTGAAATGAGAGTGGTCTAAAATTATTTACATCCATCCTTATAAAAATTGTTTAGATTTCTTAATATTTATGTAACTATGCATGGAAACTCAACTCTCAAAATACATAATAACGTGTCTTGAAGTCAGTAAAGACACATTTCGTGGGCACTAGGAAAGGCAATATAGCAGTGCACATTTCAACCCGCTAATCTTTTTTATAGACGGGTAAGCAATGTATATAATAAGGCATTCCAAAAACGGCCTATCAAACTACTGACATTTAGATATGGCAACCCTGTGAGCCTGTTGTCATTGACAGGGTCAATGATACATATTTAGTTATATAGATTGCTCAAAACGGGTCATTTACGAGCGGCCATATTACCTCGCAAGTGCTCATTAATCAGAATCGATTTTGCAAAAATGTGTTTACAAACCAATATCTAGCCTTTGAATATAGTAAAAAAGATAATTACCTACATTTTTATTTCAAGGCATAAGCTTATGTTTATTTTGAAAAATATAGATGATTAATCTATGTAACTATCTATTTAATTGATCTTGTCAAATCACCAGCCCTACAGGGTTGCCACAATTTTACCATATCATAACCTGTCAAAACCCACTGGTAGCCATTTTGTTTGGAATTCCCAATTATGTATATCATTGGGTATCTCATAAACATCTAAGGTGGATGAATGACATTTCGACTAACATAGAGCTAAAAAGAAATATTGTTATTATCCTCAATCCTTTTTATTAATTTACATTTTTAAAATGTTATTGTAATACTTTTAAATTCAGTGTTACTAAATACCGATATTTTGATATTGGATACACTTGCTTAAGGCTTTACAATTAATTTATTGTCACTTAGCCACTTAAATATTTTTGCTCAAAATGTATATACATGACCAGATTTTAATAATTTTTCACATTTTATATCATTTTGACCATGTACACGATTGTTTGTTACGGGTCGGTATCTATATTTAATATTTTAAAAAATATTCTTTATTATTTACTTGCAATGTTTACCCCATTTAAATCTAAAATTGAACACTAGAGAGTGCTAACTTTGGCAGTAGTGCTGCCTCTATATTTCACGCACGGTCCCTATACTGTGGGTTAGATGTTTTCGAAATTTTGTTAAGATATGCACTCTCTGTTACCAATGGTATGCTGACCTGGGTTGTTTTTTAGCAAATTAATCAAAAAGTGCTTTGAAACAAATGTTTTGTTTGACATTTAGTAATTCATGCAAACCGTCAATAAGTCAAGTCAGTGTTACTTAAATGTTAATAAGATGGCACAAAACCGAAGAGTAGTTCTTATAATTGGAGAAAAAGTAGAAATTATCCACTTATTTGGTAATACTGAAAGATTTACGCGTTAGGTTGCTGGAATATTCAATGAAAGGCATCGTGATCGAGCACCAGTTTCTCACGATATGCTCACGATACCGTTACCAAAGTCAGCACATTGTTTGCAAGGACTGGAGCGGTTTTCAAGACAAGACCAGGGAGGTACAATTTAAATCAAAGACGCTATCCAGACGACGAACGTATCTTAACAGAATTTCGGAACAACCCAAATGCTAGTGTAAATTTAACGAAAAATAAAACATAGAGCTGTTTGAAACGCAATAGGATTAGGACATTTAAACAAAAATGTCTACATACTCTGTTAATTAAATGATGATATTTAACGGCAGATGCGCTAGCAAAGAGACACTCCCTTTCAAACAAAAAAAGAATCATAGAAAACAGACAACGTAGTAAAGAATTATCGCTGATTATACATACAAAAAATATTCCTACGAATTGAGAACCTCTTTTTTAGCCTGTTTAAAAATAATTCTTGAAACAAATGTAAAATCAAGGTAAATTTAATTTAATATCGAATTAAGTAACTTGTTTAAAAAAAATTGTTTAATGTTTTTGGCTTTATTTTTATAAATCAAATAGTCTCAAAATCCTATTTTTGAAAGTAGGTATTTAAGTATTTACAGTTTTAAAACGAATAACACATTTATCGTTTAAATAAATACATTGTTTAGGTAACTTTTTTGGCCGTATTTACTTTACGGCTGCTGTAAAGTGTCACTTTTTTGGTCGCATTTACTTTACGGCTGTCTTTTATCAACAATTCTTGCATTGAAGCCTATTTTCAGAAACAAGAAAATAAAAAATATTGGATCGACTTGATGAGACAGTCGCCTAAAAAATGTGGGCTCCTTTGCAGAAGTTTCTTGGCTTCGGCTACGCCTCGGCCGCACAATTTACTCGCACAATAAATTAAAACTATTATTGAATTTTGAACCTTAACAAAACTGTCACTTTTTTTGTCACTACGTTAAAGGCGTTTATCGTTCCGTTTTAGATTCGACGAAACGCTTTGCAGCAGCCCAATGTCCCCCAGAAGCGTAATGAAATTCTCCTCCCAACCGAAAAGCTTTAGCCACAGCCAGCTGAACATGATAAACGCCTCATCGGCCGCGTCGAAGACCTCAGTAATAACCCGCTCCGTCTCGTCTGACATAGCCTCTTCGGCGGTAGAACAAAAGTCCAAATCCCTTTCCGAATCAAATCTTAAAACCGAAAGACAAGCGACTATCAAAGAGCTGAAAGAACAACCTAGCACATCCACCGAAGACGACGTTTGCTCAACGACTTCATCTGTATTAGACGAGGACATCAAGAAGAAGAAACGCAAGATAAATTTTTTCTCGAAGAAGAGCAAGAACAAAGATTTTTAAGGTTCCCGATCGTTCGTGTCTCTTCTTCCTTTAGGCAATCGTTATCTAATTTTAAGTCCCCGTCATTTTGACGTTCTGTTCATGACTAGTGTATTCAAGTATATGAAAATCAGTATTGACGTTTGGATTGTCAATTGTTTTCACCGAACCACGTCGAGGCCTTGCCATTATTAATGTTGACTGGCCTTTTTTTAGTAATAGTTCAAGAGCCGACCGTTTGAATTGCTTACATAATCGAGTACATCAAATATTTGTTAGGTCTGAAAACTGTCAAGAGTGTGTGATCGACATACAGGATGCGGGGACTAAATAGATTTTTATGCACACATCATTTGCTCATAACAAATCTTGCGTATACTCGATGAATAACGGATTTTCGATGGTTGCCTCTTGTACTGTACGTTTTTAATATTTACTCAGCAGTTTTTTGAATTCCTTTTACCTCTTTTTTATGGAAAGTCTCTCAAAGTGGCTTTTTTGTTTTGTGGAATATTTGATGGTGGATTTAATATTTTTTCGGACATTATGTGGGGTACTCAAGGAATATTAAAAGTAACACAAGATTGTCGAGCAATGATGCTAAGTGGATCAGATATAAAAGGATTGACATCCTTATTCACAACGTATTTTTAAATATTTACTTACATGTAAATCCTTGAATAGAGAAACGGCAATTCAGAGAACTTGGAATCCTTACTGTGATTAGTAAAATTCAAATAAATGAGGTTATGTTTACCCAAGTCATTAACAAATTTAAAATGTAAGAAATGTCAGCGAGCATTAAGATTAAAATGATTAAATAACGGTTCTTGAAATATCGCCCCAACTCTATTAAATCATTATAATAACGTTTATATCTTTCCAAGTATTTACGTGTGAATAACTTTAAAGATGTTTTGTGAATTAGGCTAAGAGTATAAAAAAAACAAGGCTACTAATAACATTTGTTCGTCCTATTCGTAAGTGCACTCCAAGAGTATCCTGCATATGACAATCGCAGAAAATATTTTTGATCAAAGTTCCTATTTGATCTGATAAACATCGTTTTTTTTAACCTTTTTTGGGTAGATACTTATCGGTCCACGTACTAGATGTAGCCTTTGGCACGATTGACGCCCGACAACAAAGTTTATTACTACATTTCTCGATAAAACTCAATGGTGTACTGGTAATCTCTGTTTTTGGGTTAATATTAAACATTTAATTTTATTAGTAGTATTAATGAAAATGCAGAAGAACTATTTCTGACTTTTATCAGGTGATATAAGAATAATAAGTGTATTCTGTTTGATGACTTATTGTTCATGTAGACATACTTATTATTATTATTACGGCAAACCTGTGAAAATATTCACTCATTTGGCTAGACACTAGCAATATAACTAAGCAGAAATTTATGTTAATTATGAAAAAACGTCATGGCACTCAAATTATTTCGTCTGACACACTTTTTTTAACATAATAAGACAAATACCGACGTGAAGTTAACTACGTCGGTATTGCCGAGTCCGCATTTAACGATCGTTGTCACAGTTTATTGCTAAAGAATCAGTTCGCTCACTTTGCGTCGGCACTTTTGATCTCAATGTTCCAGTTTATACACTGCGCAACTCGGATTTGTATCCCTGGCGCATACAGAATCAAATCATCACCAATAAAATATATGACAACCGCCTTTATTTAAACAGCAGTCTTCTGCGCATCCTGAATTTGTATCCCTGGAGTGGATGTTATTTTGGAACATTCAACTGGTCCGAGTGAGCTAACTGATTCTTTAGCAATAAACTGTGTCGTTGTGAAGTTGCTGCTGCTATATGGTCTAATCAATCGTAAATTCTACCAACGTAATATTTAATTATAATAGTTATTGATTCAAAAGATCGACGTTTCGATAAAGACGCTTTAAGATATTTCTTCTTTTGCATTTTCATGTTTATGTAGATATTTTTTTTTTGTAATAAATTTTGTGCTGTTAATGAAGGGAGAGTTGATCAAAGCACAAATTCATTTGTCTTCCATAACCGTCATAAGGAGTGTTTTTGTCCTCTCCTGAAATTCGACCTATTTGGTTATTCCGATTAGTAAGTACTTAAGTAGTATTTTTAATGGTCGACGACTTCTGAATAATTTTAAACGATCTACTTAGAAACACTTTGGGCCATCGGTATATATTGTACGAGGAATCAACTATTCTGTTCGTTTAATTTGAGATAGAAAATCTGGATCTGTCAAATCGGGCGATCTTTATTTCAAAATATAGCCGAATGTGATTTATTTTTATTTATTAATGTAAAAAACTATCAGGAGTAAATGAAAATAAGAATGGACACTGTAACTGAGAATCTCATCTGAATGACAAGGGTTTATAAATAGCACTACAGGCAAATAAAATTATACATTTTTGTATTTAAATATCTAAAAATGATATACGGAAGAGAGTAAGTAGTTCGTGCTACAAGAGTGGCCATATCGCACGAACACGAAATTTGAGTAGGATAAAGACAATCCGCTCATGTTGTATAATATATTTTTCTACGACCCACTATATCAAATCTACCAGATTTAAAAAAATGAATGTAGAGATTATTAACACCTTCATGGCGGTTTTTGACTCGCAGGTCATTGCAAGTGATTAGAATGTTAGTTTCTTCCCAACTTTCGAAACCCATATTTTACAATATTCAGTTCAATTGCTTATATGTTTCGCAACAAATACGTAAAGCTATATATTTGTTGTTTTTGGACCGGATCTTCCATATATGAACTCATCACTACAATTTCTGGCGTTTTCAAGTCATAGTATAAGCCCAGACAACACACCAAATCCCAGAGATATCCACAGAATATCTTTTGTAGATATCCAATATATCCACAGGATATCAGAAATATTCCGTGGATCTAATATGGATATCCAAATGTCCGTCTATATCCAGAATATAGAAGATATCATATGGATATCCAGCAAAATATCTAATGAGTATCTTCCAGACAATACAAGAAATCCCAGAGATATCCACAGAATATATTCTGTGGATATCCAATATCCCAGGATATAGAAGAATTCGGATATTCAGCAAAATATTTTATAGGTATCTTTAGAGGTTCATAAGTAACCAATGATTATTGAATAAAATCGAAAGAAAATAGCAGAGATAAAAAATATTTTCAACACTCAAAATATTTTCAACACTCTGCCTTTGATTTTGCCCACTAAGGAGAAAGTTATCCTTATTAGGACTCTGCAGCAATAAATGGAAATTCTCGACTCGTCTCTAATGGAGTCTAATGAGTAGATGCGAAAGTAGTATCGCCATCTATACTTAGTAAGCAAAATCAAAAATTACGTGTAGGGGATATCCACGATGGTTTGCGTTCGCGCCTAGACTTTGATATTTTTAGTGGATGTCCATGGGATATTGAATACACCTTAAAAAAATTAATTTTAAATATCTGAACGGTACTATTAGCCACAATGGCGAGCACAATGGCGTAATTTTTTAATAATTTGCTATATAATTACCATTATTTATGGACATTTGCATGTCTGTAAATTACAGCTCATGGATATAAAATAGATATCCACCATGGACTGGATATTCAGTGGATATTGGGATGTTCAGTAGATATCCAAAGGATTTGGTGTGCTGTCTGGGAGTATATTGATAATTAAATTGTTTTTAGATAATTTTATTAAAATTTTTGCTTTCTTTGTAAATATACACAATGTAACTTGTGGATTGCCGTTATTGATCAATTTTTCACTTGAATCACTCATGGTAAGAAAATGACTTAAAATAAATCCCACATAAATCTTTATTAACAAAGTTATATGACAACCATTATCAAGTCTACAAGTATGAGAAGAAAAACAGGTGTTTACAAGTATACATATTAATAATAATATTACATACCTAAATAATAAGTGAAGCGCATACAATACTAAGATATCTTCATAAAATGATTAAACGAGCACCAATTAGGGCAAGTAGACTGTCTGGTAATAACGGATTTTTGCAATGTTTTTTAATGTATGCATCTTTTAAGTTATGATTATAATAGGTTTTTAACATGTCCTAGCCAATTATCTAAGAGTGCTCGCATGCAAAGGCGTCACCACGAAAATTTGAATTAATAATGAATGATTCCGAACGATTAGTAAATGCATGCAAATTGTTTTTTAACCGACTTCAAAAATTTGATTATAAATTAAACTTGTAAACAAGAGGAGGCATTGAAGAACAATTATTAAACGTATGCTTTTTCACAGCCTTATTTTTGTTGTTAAATGGATCACGAAAAGCTACTTTGCATACAATCGCGGCGTGCACAAGTGTTGCGGTAGTTTTTTAAACATGCACTTTTTTATTACTCGAAACAATTATTTAAAAAGGATTTAATGTAAAGTTTATATAGTACATTGTCAAAATTAACATTTGCATACAGTTCTCTTGTGTAGCACCATTTTAAAAACAATTTAAATTTTGCAAAAATTGCAGCCATGTTTAAACAATTATTTAACATCCTACTTTGACTTTCGTGAAATTAATGATAAAATAGCACGATTTAGCAATTTGCATACAATCCACATATCTATATGTGGATTTTTTTAAAAGTTATAAACAGAACATGAACTCTTAACAAGCTTGTTGGGTAATAATTCGTTTTGGTCATAATTCTTATTGTATGAATCTATGCAATCATAAATTTAGAAATTGAGATTGAATAAAAATTAAAAAACAAAACCATTGCAGATGCCATTACAAATTGAGTTTGCTGATTTTATCATCTCATCATTAGATCTTGACCAAATGTATATGGGACCATCCCTAACGTAAATTGCGACATGATTGGTTAAGATGTCAAAGGTGACAAGCGAGGGAAATAATCACATTTTATTAGCCTCGTGTTCTGTGTGGGCTTTAGGTACAGCACTGTTAATTAGAATCCAAAAATTAATAGTCGAGTGGGGAATCCTACCTATGCATTAGAATAAATATTTAATTTAATAAAGTAAATAAAAATCCCTGCTACCGGCGGGATTCGAACCTGAGACCCTTCGATCTCAAAGGCATAACTCTAACCACTGAGCAAACCCACATTTGCTGTCTGGTTACGTATTGAAAAATTATAACAAAGCCACAGCTGATATAATTTAAAAGAAATACAAACAATAACACTGACAGAAAACCTCAAATGTGCCTTGCTGGTTGCCCACGTTACCTGCGTGCAATTGTGTATTTTAGTGGCGCCTGGATCCTATGTAATGAATCAAAACACATCATGGTTGCGCAGAGAGCATGGGAAGTTGAAGTCTAAATGTCATGCGCAAAATCTACGAGTATCGTAGAGGTATATTGAGGATTATACAGCGTTGTACGTACCGAAATCGTATGCAAATGAATATACTTGAATAATCTTACGCAATTTTTCTATTCCAAATAGCATTCGTTTAACAATTGTTCAACGTTATTTAGATTTTTTTGTCGAAATCTTATGAAAATCGTGATATTTTATCAAGAACCTTACGAAAAACAAAATAGCATACGTTTGTTAATTTTCTAAAGTGCACTGATTATTTTGCGACCTTTTTTTTAAACAATTCCGAAATGTATGCAAATTTTTTTTTCGCGCATTTTACCCAATAATTTTCACATAGTCCAATCGCATACATTAAATAATTATTGTTCCGAGTAGTTACAAAAAAGTGCATGTATAAAAAATTATCGCAACGCATGTGCACGCCGCGACTATAAGCAAAGTAGCTTTTCGTGGTTCATTTAACAACAAAAATAAGGCTCCGAAAAAGCATACGTTCAATAAACTTGAAAGATGCATACAATAAAAAACGTTGCAAAAAATCTGTCGGTAAATTAACAAATAAATTGAGCAAGGATAAAATACTGAGAAAAATTGTTACATAATTTGAAAAATGTTTTGAACACTATTATATTAGTAATCAAGAAGTAGTGACCGTTAGCGTCTGTTCTATATAAACGAACAGTTTGTGGGAGGCTAAGGACCGTCTATATGGGTACTTCAGGTCGTAATATATAGTGGTGAGGATAATAAAAATGCCATACTGAGAGATAAAATAAAAGTGTTTGAATGGAACATTAAAGGTTTATTTCAGCAGCAAGTTCTCAACCTTTTGAGTGCTCAGTCAACTTATAGAACATGTTATGCAACTTGCTGGAACAAACCTTAATATTGAAATTATAAGGTCACTCTATTATTAATTTGACAGAGTTCGCACTAATTAAAAAGAATAGTCAGCCGGCTACTAAATAGAAACTGTGCTTGGTGGATTTCATATCCTTACTAGAATGGATACGATAATATATCCGTTTAGTTGACTGATAACGTCTACTTATTCTTATACATGTGGGTGTAGAACAAATATATTTTAATCAATACTTATAATGGTGAAATAACTAAGTCAATAGTTTTAATTTAGACAAAATTATGTGATAACTTTAATATTATATTTATTTTCTATATTTTTTATATATTGGAGTTTTTCCCTATTTTTATGTGGTACAAGGTTCAGATATTATGTTTACAAAAATGACGATTAAATAGTTTCTGCATTTAAAGAAAGATTTGGTTCCTAGTATCTTGAATCGATGGCCCAAAATAATTTGTGATAAAATATCCAAGATATATTTTTTGTCGTCAGCCTGTAATATTTTATTAAAAAAAAATTGACGGTGTCCGAAAATGGCACTCTGCCAATTTTGGTCCTATCTTTTTTACATACGTTTATTTTTTTTTTCGCGAAAATTCGATTCATGTACACTTGTGATGATAACTAAATTGGGCTGTTTAACATTCACATACAGGAGGTCTCGCATATTTTAAAGCGTTACCAGATCGCTTAAATTGTACCCAAAAAATCTAATTATCTCCAGCAGTCCGAATCTAATTAATTTCAATTTTATTTTTTCGATTATTTCACGTAAACAATGTGGACACCAAAAGAAATACTATAGAATTGCTTTCAATGTATTTGTCTTCCGTAAGTAACAATAAATTTCGAAACCTCTTGTATATGAATATTGCAATAATTTTTACCGTACTTTTTAAGTTTTTAGCTTATGACTTGTGATATATAAAAAGAAAATCGTTAACTGATAGTCAAGAAGCAGTTTTGTACTTCTTGATCACTTTGTATACATATATTACACTAGAATTAGACCAAATTGATGATCCCAAAATTGGAATGAACGAAACGGGAAACTTGGGGATGCCCTGTAGAGTATCAAAATCAACATAAATTAAGAATATTTAATGACAACCGAAAAAATTCTGGGAATGTTTCCAGATTTGGGCACTATTCGGATGGTCATCGTTTTGGAAAAAGTTGAAATTTCTTCATCCACTACTAAAAATAATCAACACATGATAAAACTAAAAACCTCAAGCATATCTTTGTGGTTTTCATTAGTTTTGTAAATGGACATATGTCATAATTGTTGTCAACTTCAAAATAATAGACTTGTTGGGGTCCAAAAAAATTTGTAAAAAAACTTATATTTACTGAACTTAAAAGGATTTATTAATCTATCCATTTAAACAACAAGATAATTTTAGATTTCTTTGTGAAAATTACGTATTTTTATCTATTACTAATAAAACAGATAAAAAAATGGAATCTGATGGTTGCAGTTTCCACTGCCATCTGTCAAATAGCATACAATGTATAACTCTTGAAAAATTATATAAATCATAACAACTGTTAATTGACTAAACTCTATTTTAACAATAGATATAAACTTCCCTGTATACGTAATGATACAGTAGCGACAGAGGGGTCAGATTTTTATTGACATTTGACAGTTTTTTTCGCTATACTGAGAAAACCAACTACTAAATAATATGACATTTTGACAAAAATATAATAATTATTGAAGGGTCTAAATATACTGACAAAACAATTTTTGCTGAAAATGCTGTTTCCGAGATACAAGTTAGTTTGAACAAAAAAAATTAATGTTCATTCAATGTTAAAAACGTTTTATACGATTTCAGTGAAATTTTCATAGTTTATTGATATCTTAATGAGGTATATTTTAGACCTATTAAGCGTGTAATGTCTGTCCCCTATTATTATACCAGAAAAAAATTACGCCGTTCTGATGTAATAATAATAATAATGACTAGAATGAAGATATTTAATTCTTGGCATTCTAAAATCTACTCTTCACAGTTTAACAGAGCCCCCTTAACCCCCAATTTTTAATCAGATTTTTTCAGAATATATCATTCAGCTCCTTATAGAGCTTGATTTTTTCCTGAAGATGAAAAATTAATAGAAAACCATACCAAATAAAATTTTAACCTAAATCTTTTATTTAAAATTAATTGAAACTCTCCAATTTTAAATCATTTAAATAAAAAATATATAGAAAAAAATAAAATTTAAACCATTGTTATCGTTTTTTGTTTCAGAGTTAGGATTTTTTTTAATATTTCAACTCCGCTTAACCTTCCCATTTTAGTTTAGATTTTTTTAATCAAAATCAATAGATTTCATTCCCTTATCGAGCTTGAGTTTTACTAAAAATTTGATGTTGATATCGCTTTTCGTTTTGATTTCTTTTTTTTTTTTAATTTTCACCCCTCAACTCCCCTATTTTTATTCAGATTTTTTCAAAATAAATAGGCTTCGTCCCCTTATAGAGCTTAATTTTTGCTAAAATTTCGTTTTTGACCTATCCTGCGGACAAAAACGTGACATCGGACGTACATTTTTAAAAGGTGTTTAAAATTTGGCAAGCAAGATTTTGGTACAAAAATTTTTAAATTTGGATGAACATTAAAAATTTGGTTTCTCCAAAGTAAACCTATAATACTCGTTAACAGACTACTGTTGGACGATTATAATAATAAACGTCTTTACCAGCTAAAAATTACAGTCCTGATGTAGTCTAGCTTAATGGCCACTTTACTCAACGATTTCACAAATCCTAAAATTAACTTAATCTATCTTAAGCTGAATGACTGCAGACGCAGATGACATCTGCTTCGATACCAAGTAAATAATATATGATTTTAAGTCTTTTAAATAAACTTCTACTGAAATATGATTTTAAATGTATATTTAATGAAACATGCCTAAGCTCTCCACGATTGGTCTTCAAAAAAATGTATGTCCCTTAATATCTGAATGTCACACGCAGAGGCATAGCTACCAGGGCATCTGGGGAAGCAACTGCTACCCGGTCATTTTTTTTATATTGAAGTTTTCCCCTATAATAAATAAATGTAAAGTAATTGTATTTGCCAGGCAGAATAATATGGACCCCTCAAAAACAATGAAGTCTTGCTACTATATTACTTAGATTGGCACTAAGCCATCTATAGTCTTATCGCGTCTTCGAATCTAGTGCACAGCTTGCACTGAGTGCATTCGAAAGGTGGGATATATGTCAATACCAGTTACTTCTCAATCTGAAATGTAATATCGCTCATCTTTTATGTGCACTCCACGCAGGCAGGACAGTGGAATCGAAGCTGCTATTACATAGTTTAACATTTATTTCACAAAGTTGACAATTATGGTAAATGGGGTAAATCAATACGTCTTTTTTAAGTTCAATATCCAAATGCGGCAAAATTAATTTGGTAAAACACTTTCAAGGAAATTGTTTTTTCCTCAATAATGACCAGCCTACAAAACAGTAAGCTATTTCATTTTCCGCCCTTCAACTGTCCCCACTGGTGCTAAGCACTGTTTCAAGCATTAACATTATACCTTTTTGTGAGAATATTTATAAAAAAAAAATAATTGTATATACCAAAACTGCTAAATAAAGTTATTTATTTACATGAGTTTTTTTTTATTATTTTAATAGATGTAGACCATTATCAGTAAAATAAAAACAACTTATGGGTCTTACCTATTTATTGTTTCTTTTAATATTTACAAAATAAATATAAAATATATCACGATTTGCTTTTCTAATAATTACACAATTACCTGCGGCCTCCTGAAATAAACAATGCCGGCTAAAATTACAGTCAAAGTGGTGATCAAATACAAATCCCAATTGGAACCCAGAATCTCATTGAAGTCCATCAAGTGGTGAACCGGACCCTGAAACAAAAACTATAAAAACCAAATGCTAAAGTCGCTAAATATTTTGCTAAACATTCACTAAAATCTCAAAAGCCAACATTTAAACTTCTTACAAGTAAGGATTTCCATAAAATATATCTCAAACGTATAATTTGTAATGACAAACAAGAAATTAAATAAGCAATTTTCTTTTTGCAATTAAAAAAGCACAGGTAACATTAACATTAAAAAGTGTTTGCCCAACCTCTCAGAACCACTTTTTTTAAATGGGCCCGTTCACTTTCATTTTTGAATGTGAATGAATTATATATTTATAAAGATATTAAACTCTTTTGTCTGGTGGTACTTTTCCCGTTAAGATATTTTTGCTAGAAGTAAGGGAATTCCCATAAAATTCTTTCAGTGACTCATTGCGTCAGAAAATTCCGTTCACGTCTCGTATCGGTTATGCTTAAAGACGGCGGGGTTGTCGGAAGTATCCCTAATATAGCATTTCTGCATTTATATATGTAATTTAAATAGTAAAATTCCATTATTTTTCTAAAAATCATGAACTTATATTTTCAGATTTAAAGATGGGAGCTTATTTTTTAACCGACTTCAAAAAAGGAGGAGGTTATCAATTCGTCGCGATATTTTTTTTTTTTTTTATTTATGTTCAGCGATTATTCTTTAACACGGTGTCCGATTTCAATGATTCTTTTTTTGTTAGAAAGGGGGTACTTCAGGGGTGGTCCCATATAAATTTATTCAAAATCTAATAATTGGGTCCATGAGAAAATCCTCAAACTCTTCATTTTTTATGTATGTTTAGCGATAATGCTTTACCACCTTGTCCGATTTATATGATTCTTTTTTTGTTAGAAAGGGGGTACTTCAGGGGTGGTCCCATATAAATTTATTCAAAATCTAATAATTGGGTCCATGAGAAAATCCTCAAACTCTTCATTTTTTTATGTATGTTTAGCGATAATGCTTTACCACCTTGTCCGATTTATATGATTATTTTTTTGTTAGTAAGGGGGTACCTCAGGGGTGGTCCCATATAAATTTGGTTAAGATGTGGTGATGGCATCTGCACGTTTTTGAAGTCGGTTTTTTTAAATTTTTAATTTCTAATACTTGTTACTTTTTAATTAAAACAATTATTATTACTCAGGCTGAAAATTAACCAGACCATAATCAAAAAGTAGAAATTTGATTTGCAATATTTATCTGGTAAACGTGGCAACGTTGCATTTATTTCTAGAAGTGTGTGTAGACAACACTATTTAGAAGTACTTACAACGTTGTCACGTTTACCAGATACGTTTTCTCAAATAAAATTTCGATCTGGTAATATTCAGCTTGAGTAATACTAATTGCTTTTATTAAAATTTAAAAAAGGTAAGGCTTCCAGCTTTATCTGAAAATAAAAACACATTATTTTTAAAAAATAATATATTTTTATCATGTAAATTTCTTTAATAAATGCAGAAGAGGAATGGTGGTGCAATGATACATCCGACAATCGCGCCCTTTTAACTATTAACCGATACGAGACCTGAAGGGAATTAGGGGTTTTCTGACGCAATGAGTCACTGAAAGAATTTTATGGGAATTCCCTTACTTCTAGCAAAAATATCTTAACGGGAAAAGTACCACCAGACAAAAGAATTTAATATCTTTATAAATATATAATTAATTCACATTCAAAAATGAAAGTGAACGGGCCCATTAGTTAATTGTATCTGTATTATATCTATATTTTGATTCATATATATTGTGATATTAACAAACTACCTAGATAAAGAAAATAATAATAAAATTTACCTCTTGGACGGTCTCAACGCTAAAAAGAACGTTCAACTTGAGCAACGCCAGCGCCACTGGTACTTTAGCGTCCGGACTAAGCTCCGCGGCTCTGTCGTAGTAGCGCTTGGCCAGATGCATGTCGCGCGCCATTCCCAAACCCTGTTCGTGCATGTATCCCAAGTTGAAGGTCGCCTGGGCGTTGTGCTGCTGATCAGAAGCCAAACGGTAGTGGATAGCCGCAGTTTCGTAGTCGATGTTCGTACCAAGGCCATAGTAGTAATAATCACCGAGCTTAACCTGAATATAAACAGATATTTTTCGCAAAATGACTTGAACGAACAATACTCTAATATTCATAATTAAAAGAGTATTTTCTACAGACTGCTTACCTGTGCGGCTGAATAACCTTGAGCTGCGGCCCTTCCCCAATACAGAAGAGCCCTGACAAGACCTTCAGACGTTGTTAACATTGGTATTTCGTTTCTGTCAAGCAAAAATGCGGCGTTACTCTGAGCTACTTCGTATCCCAACTCAGATAACAGGGCATACTGTACAAACGATTCATCATACCTACTATTACGATAATCTGAATGGGCCTAAAAAATATACATTTCTTAAAACCTGTATCATAGTTTTATTAGAATCCTCTCAGATATAGAAAAGTATGTACATCAAGATGTGGCAACAATTTATTTGCACTGTTAGATGTTAGGGAGTTAGTGCATATTTTGGTTTCGCCACTAGCTTATCACAAGCAGTAATAACGGTTGCACAGGCTAGTTACGTACATACTATTGTCTATCCAAACAGACTCGACTCTTTCATTTTAACAAAAAAATTCAAGTTATATTTCAGAACTATCAAATGAAAAATATATTTTCTTTAAACAAAGCATTTAACTCATTCAAAAGATAAGTTGTTTGTTTTTCACATTCAATAGTTCTGAATTTTAGCGGCAATACAACATATGATGTGGAACAGCCAAATGTAAAAAATTCGTTAATAAATAAATCGGGGCGTGTTCGGAAAAACGCTCGAACACGTCGATTGGTAGTTTTAGTTGCGCATTTTTTTAACAAAAACTGTTTGTCATTTAATGTGGGCCAATACCAACTTTCTTATTTTAAATGCAACACCCTGTATATTATTCAGCTGTTGGATTCTTCAGAAAATTCTAGACATATTTTATGTACTATGTCCTATATCTAACTGTTTCGGAAATATTAAAACCTAGCTCACTTAAGAAGACGAATAATGTTTGCGATTAGATTGGTCGCTCCTGAGATGTTGAGTAACGTTAGAAGATAATTTATTTCAGATTAGGATGTTGCCAAGAGGTTCGCAGCGAGCATTTTGAACATCTACATTGAGATGTTTTTTTTTTGTTACATTATCAAGAAATAAACAGTATTACTTATTAGTTTTTGAGTGTGTTGAAACGAATTTCTGTGATCAAATTATTTTATTTTATTAATGTTAATTTTTGCAATAAATCGGAAAACATTTAATATTTCCGAAACAGTACATAAAATGTCTAGAATTTTCTGAAGAATCCAAAAATTTAAAAATGTACAGGGTGTTGCATTTAAAATAAGATAGCTGGTATTGGCCACTGTTACATGACACACCCTATACAAAAGTTTTTGTTAAAAAAAATGGGCAACTAAAAATACCAAACGACTTGTCCGAGCGTTTTTCCGAACACGTCCACCATTATTTATTACCGAATTTATTCCATTTTGCTGTTTCACAGTGTATATTTAATTTTCCAACCTGCATCAATAGCTCTCCCCATCTTCCTCGTTCTCCGACGTTTTTGAACAATTCCACGGCCGTGGCACAAGATCTGAGCATTCCTGTACCTTGGGCGTGCATTTGTCCCAAATTGTAGTAAGCCAACACGTGTCCAGATTGGGAGGCCAACGAGAAGTACTTGTTTGCCGTTTTGTAGTCCTTCTTCACGCCTAAGCCGCCTGGAAATAGAAATACGATTCAATGACAAATTAAATTTAAGAAAAGAAAACGCAAAGTCATGTACCACAGAATGTTTATTATTTATACAAGCGACTACCAGTTTCGGCCTCTGGGGGCCATCATCAGACTTAAAAATATGGGTTATAAAATAAAGGATTTCTGGAGGGTTATACAAAAACTTATTAATACTTATAGTCCGTCAGATAGTGACAGGTTTAGATGCCCCATTTTCACATACAAGCCTCGAAGAGGGTTGAAAAGTACATCGATTTTAAGTAGAATGAAAGGAAATTTACGAATGGCTGCTGGGGATAACACATGGAAAATTATTTTCCCTAACAAAAACGAAAGGTAATTTGTTGCCCATTTTTCCACACAAGCTGTTTTCACTATATGATTAATTAATAGAACTAGGCTTCGGAAAACCAAAGGCTGTAATGTTGCAAGTGGCTAAAGGGTTGAAATAATGGCGTAATCTTCTAAGGAAAATTCGAATTTTGGGACCAGAAAATTTTTCTGATAAGGAAAATCGAATATTCCATGTGTTATCCCCAAGAGCCACTCATAAATTTTCTTTTATTCTACTCAACATCGATGTACTTTTCAAACCTCTTCGGGGCTTGTATGCGAAAATAGGGCACCTAAATCGGTTACTGACAGTCTATTAACTGTAGGTTAGAAATCCATTATATCAAAACAGTACTACTAAACCAAAACTTGTCTGGTGTATTATGGCAATTTTTTTATAACCCTCTAGGTAACCTTTACTTTGTAATTCATATTTTTAGGCCTGATGACCGCTTGTATGAACTACAATAAAAATTACGTGGCAAATTACTTCGATTTTCTTTCCTTATAAAGGATTGCCACATATGATTTACCCTACTGAAATTGTTCCCTTTATTTAATATGTTTTCCAAATATAACAACATAAATCGACATATTGACGATTTTAATTGCAGCACAATATAAAAAGATTTTGTTTTAACTAATTGTAACTTTGTCTGTATAGTACATATTTATATTTTTATTTGCTGCAATTTTACTAGCAACAAGTAAAAGTGTGAACCGTAAAGTGGTACTTACTGAAATACATATTCCCAAGTTGCAATTGCCCATCGACCCAACCCTGATCGGCCGCCTGCGTAAAGTAATGGTGGGCTTTCGAGTAGTCCTTTTCGACGCCTCTACCGTAAAGGTACATCAGTCCCAAGCCACTCAAACCCACTGGATTGTTCAAATCCGATGCTTTTTTGAAGTACTTAAATGCCGTGTCATTATTGGCTGGAATCTCGTCACTACCATCTAAATATATCTAAAAATTTAAATAGATTTAAAAGAGCCGTAAAGTGTGTGAGCTTTCTTGTATGCTTACTTTTCCTAAATATGCCATTGCTAATGCGTTGCCAGCATTGGCTGCTTGTGTGAAATAGTGAAGGGCTTTTTGGTAATCCAAATCTACACCCCTTCCTCCTTGGTAATGGAGTTGACCAAGACCAACCTAAATTAATATAGAGTTGATAACAACTTATTATCCAATACATTTACAGTTTTTTTTTGTAATAAACAAAAAGTTTGACATCAATAAAAATTAACGAAGATAAAATTTTTTGAATAAGGATAATTTTTTGACCGTAGCAGAATTTTATATAAATAAAAATTTCCTTGGTTTATTCGGTCATTAATTTTATTTTCTATCGTTAGCACAGCACTACATATGTTTCGGAAAACTTTGTTTCCATCTTCGGGTGCAGTCAAAATTTAAAAAAAAAAATCAAAAAATGCATGGGGACGATTAGTTTAATTTTTTTTTTTTTAAATAACAGGAACCCTATCTTTCTGTTTCAGCGTGTGAATGTGTATTCGAAATAATATTGATTTGGTTCAACACGATAACGATAAAGTAGATAAGTTTTTACAAAGTTAAAAATTACCAGTGCCGTTACAGTTAAGGATTAGAAAGCTTACAATTATTTAATAATATTAAAATAAACGTTTGACAAATCTTTTATAATAAAAAGGAAATAAATTTATATCAAAAAAATAAATTAACTTTACATAATGGCATCACTTCTTATCTATATCAGAGACGTGTAACTTAATAGGAAAATTTGTTCGGTGGTTCATTTAAATTACATATATGACTTTCTTTCTCTTTTATATTGATCTTTACATATATTTATCTCTCTCCAATAAAACTAACACTCTAGGTCGCTGATGTTGCTGGTTTTTTTGACGTCGACGTATAGATTAGAACTGACAATGTTATGAATGTTGTTATGAACGTGTGCATTTTATTAAAATTAATTTAATTTGGGCCCCGTTTATTTCTTTGAGTCTGATTTTGCTGTTTAATTAATTTTCTTTTGGGGGGGGGGGAGGGGGGGGAATGTTTATTTTTGCATGAAGCAATTTCTGAAACCAAACCACTGTTTAATGTGTGTATTTAATAATATATTACAAAATGGCTATAATTATTTTAGGTGAATTGGAACAGATATCCATTGTTACAGCTACTCTTGTTCATTAAGTAGGTAGATGAATGTCTCGACAGCTTTAATGGCAGCACAAAGTTCCCACCTACTAGAAAAGAAGTAAAATGTATGCTGAGTAAAAAATCTCTGCACATGTAGTATTGGCAAAGGACTTTTGAAATGATTAGAGATTGGCTATTTCTTACATACACCTACCTTTAATAGCCACTCTAGTGGCTATTAAAAGATTGTAGTCATTTAAACGATGAAAAAAAAATTGAATCGCCAAAGGGCAGAATTTTAAATCAGGATACATTAGAAAATAAATTTGGGGACATCAGGTCGGTTTTGAATTTTAGAGACAGATCAATCTCAAGAAAAGTTAATTTATCCTTCAGAACAACCAGTAGTTTAAGTAGGATCTGCTATAACTTTATGACTGTACCAAAAGATCACATTTTAGTTTCATTTGACGTAACTTCACTGTACACAAACATTCCTATGGACCTTGCTATTGAATGTGTGAAAAATAAATGGGACCTTAGTAAAAAACATACGTCACTTTCTCAAAACGATTTTATAGAAGGTATAAAATTCTGTCTAGAAACGACATTTTTTAAATACGAAAATGAGTTTTTCTCTTAAGTTTTCGGTGTGGCTATGGGCTCTCCAATTTCCGCTACAATAGCTAATTTAGTAATGGAACAACTGGAAACATCAATTATAGACAATTTAAATTACAACTTGCCCTTTTACAAACGATACGTTGATGATTGTCTATTATGTATTCCTGTAAACCAACTTAACTATACTCTATAAAAATTCAATACCTTCCATAATAAAATTCAATTTACACATGAGATAGAAAATAATAATAATTCAACTTTTTAGACCTCACAATTAAATACGATGAGGTTGGTAATATTAATACAAACTGGTTTAAAACAAGTCTGGTCTGGTAGATATTTAAATTTTAATACAAATGCACCAATTGCACACAAGAAAAGCGTTGTTTTCAGTCTCACTGATAGAGCAATAAAATTGTCATACCCAAAATACCACACAGAAAATTTGGAAAAAATTAAAAATGCCCTAAATAACAATTATCCGGCAGAATTTTACAATCCTCTTATCAAAAAACGAACTAATCAAATTAAGTTTTCAAAAAATAATAATAGTAATAATAATAATAATACGGGGGTGGGTGGCTCAGTGGTAGAGTCTCTGCCTGTGGATCCAAGGGTCCCAGGTTCGAATCCCACCGTTGGCCGGGATTTTTTTAATTATTTAATTAATTAAAATTAATTCTGATGGCTCGGTAGGATTCCCCTCTCGACCATTCACTGTTGGATTCTAATTAACAGTGCTGTTCCTAAAGTGGCGCTGGGAAACAGTAACAAAGCCTACACAGAACACGAGGCGAAATAACCTTAGCAGTTGAAGCCGATGACACACACAAAAAAAAATAATATTTCGTTGCCACATGTAAAAGGATTTTCTGAACAAGTGTCTAAAATGTTTTCTAAATATAATATAAAAATTGCTCATGAACCTAACAATACAACTAAAACGTTCAAAATTAGTAAAATAAATCAACCAAAATATTTCTATAAAATTGACTGCAAAGAATGTAATTCCACTTACATAGAACAAACAAAACAATATCTACATAAAAGAATAAAAAAACCATAAAAATAATATCGCAACTAATAATGAAAATTGCACTGCCCTAACTAAACATGCATTAGAAAATTTGCACTCTTTCGATTTTGAAAATGTAAGAATTCTCGAAAATGAACCTAATCTCAACAAAAGAACAATGCTTGAGATGATACATATTATAAAAAAAATAACAACTCTGTAAATAATAAAACTGACAAAAGATTTGTCAAACGTTTATTTTAATATTATTAAATAATTGTAAGCTTTCTAATCCTTAACTGTAACGCCACTGGTAATTTTTAACTTTGTGAAAATTCATCTTTTTGTTTTCCTATTTATCGTTATCGTGTTAAACCAAATCAATATTATTTCGAATACACATTCAGACGCTGAAACAAAAATATGGGGTTCCTGTTATTTTAAAACAAATTTAAAGTGTTTGTAATCGTCCCCATGTGTTTTTTAAATTTTGACTGCACCCGAAGATAGAAACAAAGTTTTCCGAAACATATGTAGTGCTGTGCTAACAGAGCTGGGAGTAACGAAACAAAAACGTTACTTTTTAGTAACTCGTTACTTAAAGTAACGCGTTACTAGTAATTTCGTTCCTTTTTTAAATCAGCGAAAAGTAACGGTAACAGCGTTACTTTTTCAAAGTAACGTAAAATCGTTACTTCGTTACAGTAACGCGTTACTGCAAAAGTAACGCGTTACTTTAAAAAGCGTTACTTTTGGAAATAATTAAAAAGTTGGTGTATATTTTTACTATAGAACAAGAAAGGGCTAATGAAAGTTATATTGTTACATGCTTTATTTAATTAAATGTCTCAACACTTGTAAGTTACAACCTTATAACTGCTAGAGTAAGACTGATTATTTTTCAAGTGTTGAGACATTTAGTTAAATAAAGCATGAATTACAAATAACAATACAACTTTCATTATCCCTTTCTTCTATTGTAAAAATGTACACCAACTTTTTATTAATTTATTTCCAAAAGTAAAGCTTTTTTAAAGTAACACGTTACTTTTGCAGTCACGCGTTACTTTTTCAGTAACGCGTTACTTTAAAAGTAACGAAGTTACAATAACTCGTTACTTTCGGAAAGTAACGAATAATTCGTTACTTTTTTAAAAAAGTAATGGTAACGATTATATAAAGCGTTACTTTGCATCAAAAGTAACGTGTTCCTTTTTTTTTTAGTAACGGTCCCAGGTCTGTGTGCTAATGATAGAAAATAAAATTAATGATCGAATAAACCAAGGAAATTTTTATTTATATGAAAATTTTTAATCACTACCTCATTTGAAAACCAACAATAATTGGTTTACAAATGAAGAACTTTACAGATGTTATCACCTTCAAATTCAAAAAGCTAGCAAAGATTAGTTATTACTGTATTCAACAGAATATTTCTTCAACTGTACTGAATGTGAATTTTAATTTTGGTTTTAGATTTATATCACATTTTCTAATAAAACAATTATTTTTTACTTTATCTCCTCCCATTTGAAAATCAGCAAAAGATATAGTAGAATGCTTCAACTGTTTTGAACAACTTTTTTTTGTGAATTTAAGATTTTCTTATATAGTCCAATTAAATAGACCTTTAAATCAAAATTTTGGAGGAAATACAGGAATTTTTGATATAAGTCACTTTAGAGTATTTGAAAACGATATGTAAAAAAATTTAGTTTCTCAGGCACCGGCAAATGTCAAAAAACAAGAAAACTAACTGTTTTTTTAAGGTTATTTAAAAACGATAGGAGCTATAAAAAAAAGTTTTAAATACAAATTGTAAAGAATAAAGTTCTACATAAAAATTATATTTGACATTTTTTGCTATTATTAAAACTGACAGAGTTAGGGTGGTTAGAAATTAGGAGGAGATATATATGGCTTGGAAAAATCATAGCGAACTGAAAACTCAATGATTTTGTAATTTCTTTTTATTATTTACTCAGAAAGTTATAAATTTCTTTTAGGAAATAGTTATTTATGCAACAAGTGTGTAAAGTTACCCTTTTTTGACGAATGTGAATGTTGAATGACAATCACATGATTCAAAAAAGGGACTTTACACACGAGTGGCATACAATATTTTTTCTACTACCGTACACATAATCCACTAATATTAGAAATATAAAAGTTGCTTTTTTTCACTAGTGAAAAAAAGTACTTTACTTTACGCACTAGTGAAAAAAAGTAAAATGTGTCAACAATTGTACACAGCAACAAAAATAAATTTATTGGAACTTTACAAATTTATAATTCTTACAGAACAAAATGACTAACAAATGAAGAAATATTTAAAAAAATAGGTTTTTAACTCTTATGAATATTAATATTGAATGTGCAATTACCAAAACTTAAGGTTTTGGCCTTTTCCAGCACAGAGTTTGAAAAATGTTGTGATATTACTTCTGTAACCCTATTTTGAGCTTCGAGTGGTATGGATTTGGCCTTTTCAAGTAAAGAGGTTGAAATATTTTGTGTAACTTTAGTTTCACTGTCGAGTGGTTCCACTAATTCTTCATTAGAGTTGTCAACGGTAAAATTGTAGCTTTGTTTGGAAGTGGATGGCATACTGTCATCCATCAAAATTTTATTAGAAATTTTGTTTTTTTGTGTTATTGTGCTGTCTACGTAGCCTTCTGCAACAGCAGATGATTTCCATCCTCCATGTTTTTTGACCGTTAGAAGGTCTCTTCCAGAATTTGCCAGCATAGTGGCTGAAGACCTCCTAAAGCAGTGTCCTGTAAAAGCCGTTGGATTGGGCAAGTTTAGATACGTTGCTATAACACTTGGCATTTTACCAAAAGTATTTATCCCTACAGGCTGTTTAGAATATTTTCCATTTGCGAATTTTAAAAAAAATCTGTTACAATTTATATTTGGTCTTAATGAGGTATATTTTTTTATGAAAGATAAATAATCAACTGCAGAATTATTTGGATTTAAAATGTAAAAATGCGTTCTATTCCATTTTTGGTTTCTGATACTTTGACAATATACACTGTTTGTTTATCTTCCACATCGTTAATTGTCATTTTACATAATTCTTCCCGGCGACAAGCTCCCGCAATTCCAATTATAATGATAGTGGGTGAGGTTTTCCGGGTTTTCCTCACCTGTAAGTCAAATGGCACCATCAATCATCTTTAAGTCGCCCCGGAGCGCCACGGCAAATAATAATAATAGCCGTCCCTTCCCCTACACAAGTCGTTCAGTCGACTTCAGGGGTTGAAATTCACTCGTAAGGGGGTGAATTAGGGAGAGTATTATTATTATTATTAAAAGCTACCTAAAAAATAACATATTGTAATGTTACAAATAATTTATTAAACATTAGGAAATATCTTGACGTTGCGCATGTAAAACTCCAAATAAATGCTATTGTAAAAAATATAAAAGTTTTAGGTATAATGTGCTGCCTAACAACTCCGGTGGCCTGTTAGGACAGTAACTGATTTTGTTAGGCAACACACCATACGAACACACATCTCGTTGCAAAACTTTACAGAATATTTTAATTTTATACTGAGCATTCAAGCATTTACTGAGGCATTTACTTACTTTGATCATTAAAAACTTGGAATCTGGAGCTTTCAACAGAAAATTAATTAGATCTTCTCGTTTAAAGAGTTTGGATTTTTTTGGTTTATAACCTTTATTTTTTTGTTTGAGAAACGCGATTAACTTGTTGAATTTCGAAATATCAACATTGTTTTTATATTTTAAGGTGCTTTTAAGCATAGAATAAATCGACCATAGGGTAGAAGCTTTGCAATTCTTCAATTCATCAGAGAAATATGCTAAAATAACGTTTTCCGAATATTTTGTCACCTTATTCTTCCTACACCATTCTATAAATGCATTGTATTTTTGCTGATAAATATATGCAGATTTTTCTGGCAATAAATTTTCAGTGGCCTTTTGTGCACTGCATAAGATATCTGGGGGAGTATTATCAAATTCTCTATCGCTAGATAAATTTGAATCCATATCGATTATGACAGATATAATAAACTGTAAATAAAATTTGAATTTAAGTAAACAAACATTAAAAAGTAAAACTTTTTACCTTCTCAAACTTGATTGAGTTTAAAAAAATGCTAAATTGGCTTTAGAATCTAATCTTGAACTTAAGTATACTTTTGTCATGTTCTGTTATAAGGTAGGTACTAATTAAAAGTTTAGAGATTGACAGTTCTTCTAATCCACACAGCCACGGCCAACTTACTTTTACCAAAATCGACTTCCACTGTATGTTTACTTTTAATTAAATCGATGACATTTAGAGAAAATTATAATTAAAATAAACTGTTGATAATTTGTTGGACACTAAATAGATATAAGCAAAAATAATTTATTTATTTGTCTTAGAAGGAGATAGCAAAAAAATGTTAATATAAAATAAAACGTTATATTTTGTTGTTATGTACAAATTTTGTCAAATTTTACTTTTTTTAACTAGTGCGTAAAGAGTTTTACTTTACGCACTAGTGAAAAAAAGTACAACTTTACACACTTCGTGGAGTGCGTAAAGTACGTACTTTACGCACGGTAGTAGAAACAATTATTTTTTTCATTTTTTTAAGTTATAACAATTTTAATTTAGAAATTTTCAAAATATTTTACAAATTTATGTAATAAAATAAATTTTGAAGTAAACTTATCATGGAAAATATGAAGAGTGAACTAATAAAACGACATTCCGACAGCTTTGTCCCCATTCGTAGTTCCATTAAATAAATAAAAATAAAAACAAATAAAAAAGAACTAAATAAAAATATTAAAAAAAAATAAAACTGAAAATAAATAAATATAAATAATTAAAACTTAACTTAATAAATAAAATTAAACAAAAATAAATGAAAAGATAAGTGTAAAAAAATAAAAATAAATAAAAATAAAAAAAAAAAGAAAAAAAATAATAAAAATAGAAAAAAATAAAAATAAAAAATTAAAAAAATAATCAAAAAATTTAATCAAACAAAAATAAGAAAAAAATAAAAATAAAAAATCAAAAAATTTAAATAAAAATAAATGAAAAGATATGGGTAAAAGAAAATAAATAAAAATTAATAAAAATAAATAAAAAAATTATTATAAAAATAAACAACAAATAGTTAAAAAAATTAAATAAAAATAGGTAAATTATTAAAAATAAAAAATAAATAAAATTAAACAAAAATAAAAGAAAAGATATGGGTAAAAGAAAATAAATAAAAATAAATAAAAGTAAATAAACATAAATAAAAATAAATTAAATAAAAATAAATCAAAATAAACCAAATAAAAAATAATATTTGAATATTTTTTAATTTTATTTTATTTTTATTTGTTTTTATATTTTTTTATTTATTTTTATTTATTTATTTTTATTTCTTTTTATTTTCTTTTACCCATATCTTTTCATTTATTTTCTTTTAATTTTATTTATTTTTTATTTTTAATAATTTACCTATTTTATTTAATTTTTTTAACTATATATTTGTTATTATTTTTATTTATTTAAATTTTGTTTATTTTTTTTATTTATTTTCTTTTACCCATACCTTTTCATTTATTTTTGTTTAATTTTATTTATTTACATCTATTTTTATTTATTTATTAGTTTTAATTATTTTTATTTACTTTTATTTATTTTTGTTTAATTAAATTTTTGTTTATTTTTTTAATTAATTTTTTATTTTTATTTTTTAATTTTTTTTTATTTTTTTACACTTATCTTTCCATTTATTTTTGTTTAATTTTATTTATTTTCATTTATTTTTTTTATTTTTATTTGTTTTTATTTACTTTTGTTTATTTATTTTTAATTTTTTAGTTTTAATTAATTTTATTTTTTTAATGTTTTTTTTTTTTTTTTTTTTTTTTATTTATATTTTATTTCTTTTACTTTTATTTTTTTATTTATTTTTGTTTAATTTTATTTTTATATTTTTTTTTTTTATTAATGTTTTATTATCTTTATGTTTATTTAGTTCTTTTTTATTTGTTTTTATTTATTTAATGGAAATTCAAGTAAGGACCAAACTGTCGCTATGTCGTTTTTATTAGTTCACTACTCATATTTTTCATGTCAGTCAAGCTAATAAATTTACTTTAAAATTTACTATATAAATTCGTAAAATTAATTGAAAATTTCTATATTAAAATTGTCATAACTTAAATTTTTCTTAAAAGAAAATTATAATTTTCTGAGTAAATAATAAAAAGAAACTACAAAATCCTATTTTTTTAAATATTTCTTCATTTGTTAGTCATTTTGTTCTGTAAGAATTATAAATTTGTAAAGTTCCAATAAATTTATTTTTGTTGCTGTGTACAATTTTTGGCACATTTTACTTTTTTTCACTAGTGCGTAAAGTAAAGTACTTTTTTTCACTAGTGAAAAAAAATAACTTTTATATTTCTAATATTAGTGGATTATGTGTACGGTAGTAGAAAAAATATTGTATGCCACTCGTGTGTAAAGTCCCTTTTTTGACTCATGTGATTGTCATTCAACATTCACATTCGTCAAAAAAGGGTAACTTTACACACTTGTTGCATAAATAACTATTTCCTAAAAGAAATTTATAACTTTCTGAGTAAATAATAAAAAGAAATTACAAAATCATTGAGTTTTCAGTTCGCTATGATTTTTCCAAGCCATATATATCTCCTCCTAATTTCTAACCACCCTAACGCTGTCAGTTTTAATAATAGCAAAAAATGTCAAATATCATTTTTATGTAGAACTTTATTCTTTATTAAGAACTTTTTTTAATAACACCTACCGTTTTTAAATAACCTTAAAAAACACTTTATTTTCTTGTTTTTTGACATTTGCCAGTGCCTGAAAAACAAAATTTTTTTACATATCGTTTTCAAATACTCTAAAGTGACTTATATCAAAAATTCCTGTATTTCCTCCAAAATTTTGATTGAAAGGTCTAATTAATTGGACTAATAATAGAATTTTAGAACTGTGAACTTTTAAAGATGACCATGTCAAATTCCTGAAAATACCATTTTTGGTTTTATCACCTTATTATTTGAAAACCAACAAAGATATTGAATTGCAATTTTCAATAGATTATTTTCACAATAGTTTTGGAAAACTTTTGTGAATTTAAATTTAGTTATTAAGTTTTATCATTTACCTGTGCCTGAACGTCCCCTTTTTCAGCTAACAGCTGATAGTATTCAATGAGATCATTGTCAAGAATGCCAGAGGCATACCCGTTTTCCAATTCATCAAAAAGACGGATCCTCTGAATGGCGGAACCTCCACCAAAGGAGACACCTTGACTAACTATAAAAAAATCAATGTAAAAGTCTTATTCAAAAAATGTATTTCAACATGTAATATTGTGTAATAACAATATTGTCTTGGGTATATTTCTATTATTTTTTATTAAAATACTTACCTTTGTCAGCTACCTGTCTGTAGTACTCCAAGGCCTTTTCACAGCTAGCAGCTACAGTAATTCCTGACCAATACCTGTAGCCTAGAGCCATTTGAGCCCAAGAATTGCCACCTATTGCACCGAAAGTGTAGTGAATCAATGCTTTTGACTGGCTCACATTAACAGCAAGACCAGCAGCATATAAGAAGCCTATAAAATCGCAAAATCATAGGCAAAATTATTCATTATTACTTATTTAAAGTAAATGGGTAAACATTTTGGTATTTTTATACTTACCTAAACCTGTGTGTCCATCTTGGTTTCCAATTTGTGCCAATTCAACAAACATTTCCTTAGCAATGTAAATATCTTGTTTTAAAGGATTGCCAAATAGTTTCGCCCAAGCCACCATGGCTTTTGCTTCAGTGTTTCCTTTATTTGAAGCCTCTATTAGTATTTGATAAGCTTGTTGTTTGTCTGGTTTAGTCTTGTTGAGCATAGCTGCAGCTGCCTCGTATAATTTTTTCGCCTCAAATTCTTCTTCTGTCAGGTCTGGTTCATGTAAAGCTGCTTCAGGTATTGGAGGGACTTCTTCTATTTCATTAAAAACAGTACTGTCTTGTAGATTATTCACCATATCCAGGTGTTGAACCATTTTTTGGATAACTTTTGCTTGGTCTAGCATAAATAGATCAACAGCCTCAGATATTTCATTGTCTATTATATCATCTAGAATATATGATAAAAATTAAACTCTATATAATTTGAAATTCTGTATCTGTAAGGTGGGAAGAGTGGGTTGTTCCACAGCATTGTTTCAGTAGGCCCATTGTGCATCCTCCAGGGGCATATAGGACCTGCCTTTAAACTTGTCAAAAACCTGCTAATTGTCACTGTGAGGTGTCTAGAGACAGCCAACCTTCCAACTAATTAAAGTCCTGCTGGTTGTCACTGGGAGGTGTCTAAAAATAGCCAGCTTCTCAGGTGAAAGCCCTGCAGGTTATTAACATCTGTTAAGTAATTAGTTATTTTGTTATGTTTTGTGCTGTATAAGTACATAGTTTATATATTGTTAGACTTTTATATTAGTGATCATTCGGTATATTAAAACAAATGATTTTTTGAGTACTGTTTTACGTGTAAGTCACGATAATACCTATAAAAGTCATCCTACTGCCTTTTTATTTTATATTTTATATAAATAAATCAGTTACAAAGATAGCAGTGTGTTTCTGCAGATATATAAATTTAACCAAATCACACAAAATCACGGAGAAGTGTCTCTAGCTGCCCCACTTTTGGAAGTGGCCATTTGGTGGGCTTCTACCACCCCCACTGAAGTCATTCTGTCCGCCCGCTTCACAGGGTAATATTTTGAAATTACATTTACTTTATTTTTTAACAAATACGGTGTTTTGCAAAATATCACTTTTCTAAATATATTATTGGATTATAAATATTTTTCCATGATTACTTACCTTTAGAATGTTTTTCATTACTGAGATCTGGGGCGGGCTCTATTCTTATAGCAGTGGCCCCATCCCGTTCCTCAATAGAAGCAATAAATTCCCGTTTCTCTTGAACATCGTTATGGTTATCAGTACCCTTAGTTTTCTTTTCTTGTAAGTCAGGTCTTTGCACACTCTCGTCGGAGAATTCACAGCAAATAAGCATTAAAAATAATAGAAATAATTTACCATTTTTCATGACGGTTGGTTAGTTTTCAGTTCACTCGAAAATATTTATAAATTTAGATTTTTTTATAGCCTAATTTAAACTGTTCAATAAGTACTCTACAACTCAGCAGCAAATTAATTCCACCATACAAATATTGACAAGTTTAACTAACTTGTCAGGCGTCAAAACATCCAAATGTGTTTGGAAGAGACTGGCTGAATTCAAGGAACTAAAAGAGGATGGAGATAGAAAATTCGACAAAAAGAAAAGAAATAGCAAAATTAGATAAATTGTTGTCTTGACATGGGCCATCCGTGGGCGTGGGCCATAATAAGAAAGGAAGAACTTATTTGTATTTTGTGTCTCAACTGTTGCGGATGTTTAGCTTTTAGGTTCTTTAACTTTTATGACAATTTGTCCCTTTTACTCCTTATAAAAATAGTCGGCAGGTGCAATTTAAAGACCGTTGTAGATCGTGTTTATTTTACATTGTTGAGATTGACCTGATTTCGTGATTGAACACAGAGTTGTTTAAAATCAGTGAACTGTATATTTTAATATACAAGTCACTTTTTATTTTATAAATTAGAGGCAGAAGAAAAAGAAGTGACTAATCATCCGGGAGTCCCGAATGAAAAGTCTTTCTATACGTTCGTAACCTGCCGGATAAAGAGTTATTCAGTCACTATGGGGTCTATTCTGTAACACATCCGTTAAAATATAGGTCCATATTTATAAACAAAACTCAGCTGAGTCAGACTTGGGTAAGAAGTCGTCCTCACAAAGCACATAGAGGTTCCACGTGAATGACCAAGGTCAAAACCGACAACTGACATTTTTTATGCTATTTGCTCCAAACTCTAGATGGGGCTACTGGTGAAATTATGATTTCTTACTCCATTTTTAAGCCTTATGGGCAGTGTTGCCAGTTTGTTACAATTGTAACAAATCTATTACATTTAGGAATGGTTTATTACATTATTACAATTCCAATAAATCTATTACATTTTCACAAGCCTAGAACAATGAACGATTGATAAACTTGAACCTAACCTAAACGTGTCTTGATTTTATATGTTCCTAATATATTTTGTATTATTTCATACAACTAATACTATCCCAAACATGTTTCCTGCTTGATTAGATTCATCCCAAACCTGTTTTCTCGAGCATGCCCAAAGCGCTTAAAACGTTTCTATTGTCACTGGACCTTGCATTGGATGTTGGATGCCGAATTTTACCTTTCCTTCTATTTCTTATATAAAAATGCTGTATGTCATGATACTAAATTAAGTACTAAATTTAGAACTAAATTAATACATTTATTAAGTTCTAAAAAATTGTACGTTTCAAACAGCAAATTTGATACTAAATTTAGTACCAAAAAAATAAAATAATTAGAACTTGTTATATTTTTAACTAAATTTAGTACTGAAAATGCATCGAAATGTTGCGCAGAAGTTTTCACAGAAAAAGTTGACCGTTGATACAGAGGCTTTTCTGTACCATTTTGTTTTTGGTTAGCGACAACTTTGCATCATCGCCTTGGATAAATTTCACTTGTGTTTCATGATTTTTTTATGATTTTTCAAAGGATTGGTGTATTTGGTTGTTGTCAAGTAAAAATAATCAAATTCATAAAAGGTCTTTTCATTTGCATCAAAAGTATAGCACTAAGCTACGCCACTTCTGAAAATATCATTCCATCCATACAATTTGTATAAATGAGAGATATATTACATAAGAATCGCAGTCTGTCGAACGATAAGCGTCTCGATACGACACGTATCGAAAGATGAGAATTCCACTGCAGTTAAATCGTACTACAGTACTACTCATGCGCAGATAAATTCAGAATGGTTCTGCTGTTGCAACAAACCTATAAAAGAATGTGGACAAAATACCCTCGTTCTCCATAATGACAATAATTGAAAAATTGTCGTTGTTATCAATAAATAGGTACCTATATGTATATTAAAAAGTTTTATCAATACAATGAATCTACTTTTTATGTATAGTTGTTCATTTTACGATAACTAAAATTTCTATTACATTTTCTTGAAATCTATTACAATTTTGAGAGTTCATCTATTACATTCCTTCAGAGTACTCTGGCAACACTGCTTATGGGAGAAAAACTTAACCAAAGACTCCAAAGATGTGACGTGTATTTATTGATGTTCTTGGTTAGTTTCATTTTTCCGTCTGATTTTAGTGATTTTTTGTTGCTTTGGCTTTTGGTTTCTGTTTATAGTTTCGTCTTAGTTATTTGCAAAATTGTGATGTTTCGCTTTTTTATTTCCTACTGTGTTTTGCAATAATTTTGGTGCGCTACGTTGAAAACTTCGAGAAAAACTTCATTGATTCACCATATATTCACCATGCATCTGCATCATAAAAAGACAAACGGGGACAACAACTAATTGATAATCAATTTATCACTGGACTAGATTCCGAAATCATTTTTCACATAAGAGAGTAATACCACCATCTGTATTTGGAAGGAAAATACCTATTTATCATTGAATGAATAGTTAAAAGGATTCACCTTTTAATACAATACCTATATTACATTTGTCCTCAGTTAAAAAGACATTTATAAAATATATAACTTTAGTGTTAATAAAATGTAATATCCTAGTCTCTACTTCACATTTAAATTATTGATAGGTATTTTAAAGATTTGAGATTATATATCTATTTGCTCCAAGTAAGTATTCGTTAAATATGTATTATTATTTGTATTTATTTTTATCTAATAATATTTATTTAAGTTATTAATAAACATATTTTAAGAATGTTCTATGTTATTATTTATTGATATATCTTATATTTATTTGATAAAATATGCAGAACCAACTCTCCACATTAGACCCCTTATAACAAATTAATTCTTCAAATTTGGTATAATCGACCTAAATTATTTTGTAAAATAAAAGTTTCGAACTTACTAGTTCCATACTTTATTTTATAAAAGAATTTATGTAAAAATCATTTAAAATTCAATTTAAAACTACTACCTACTCCTAAAAATTACAATTTGAATTTACCGCCATCTGTCAATTGTGATTTTAGTTCCAGCTCCAAACACAAGGTGGCGCTAATTTGATTTAAAAGTTTAACATTGGCGTGGGGTCTCTAGAAGATACATGCTTTGTGGTCGTCCTTGAACTAAAATCGAAGTTCGGTTACAACGTTTCTAAAGTTACAGGTGGTTCCGGTGTTACACTTGAATTTAGAGATGGACAATAGCAAATCTGTAACTGTTATATACATTTACGGATTTGTTACTACCCATCTCTAAATTCACGCGATATAACCAATGAAATGGAGGGGGATAGAATGCCGATGTACATGTGTAGTATTAGAACTAAGTGCGACTCTATGGGCGCAGCCATTTTTATTGTTCATCTCACTCGGGACTATTTATAATAACCATTTTCTGTTTCACATTGTTATTGTTCTATCCACAAGCTGGTGGATCAGACAATAACAACGTGAAATAGAAAATGGTTATTTTAAATACTCCCGAGTGAGATGAAAAATAACCTATCTTCGCCCATAGAGTCGCACATCAAGTCTATTGACAAGCATTCTACCCCACTCCAGTTCATTGGATATAACCGAACTTCGATTTAAGTTCAAGGACGACTTACCCAAGTCCGACTCAGCTGAGTTTTGTTTATAAATACGGACCTTAGAGGCCTTTAAAAATTAAACTTTTAGCGGCTCGTTAATTTTTTTTAACCAAAAATGGTATTCTGTATACACAAATTTTAGGTCCGTATTTATAAACAGAACTTACCTGAGTCGGACTTGGGTAAGTCGTCCTTGAACTAAAATCGAAGTTCGGTTACAACGTCTCTAAAGTTCTAGGTGGTTCTGGTGTTAGACTGGAATTTAGAGATGAATATTAGCAAATCTGTAACTGTTATGTACATTTACGGATTTGTTACTACCCATCTCTAAATTCACGCGATGTAACCGAACTTGGATTTTCGTTCAAGGACGACTTACCCAAGTCCGACTAGCTGAGTTTTGTTTATAAATACGGGCCTTAGAGATGGGTAGTAACAAATTCGTAAATGTACATAACAGTTACATATTTGCTAATATCCATCTCTAAATTCCAGTCAAACACCAGAACCACCTAGAACTTTAGAGACGTTGTAACCTAACTTCGATTTTAGTTCAAGGACGACTTACCCAAGTCCGACTCACGTAAGGCCCGTATTTATAAACAAAACTCAGCTGAGTCGGACTTGGGTAAGTCATCCTTGAACGAAATTCGGTTATATCGCGTGAATTTAGAGATGGGTATAGTAACAAATCCGTAAATGTACATAACAGTTACAGATTTGCTAATATCCATCTCTAAATACCAGTGTTACACCAGAACCACCTGGAACTTTAGAGACGTTGTAACCGAACTTCGATTTTCGTTCAAGGACGATTTACCCAAGTCCGACTCAGGTAAGTTCTGTTTATAAATACGGGCCTTAGGTAACAACAAAATGCTTTCAAAAAAATCTCATCTCTCGTGGTATTATAGTAGCTATTCTTGAATTCGATGAAATAGAAAATCGGTTTTTCCTCTTTAATCCTCTTTAAACGCACAAAATTGGTTTTTTGGTCTCATTCATTCCACAAAATTTCTACTCCCTGAAATTTAAGAATATCAACCAATGACAATCCTGTTTTTTCCAACACACGTCAATCAAAACAAACTCTATGGTGTAGTGTTTAATTGACTCAACATTTCACTTTTAATTTTATAAAATTATTCACAACGAGTTGCACACTCTACTTACATTTGGCAATTTTGGGCAATTAGCACTCCCGGATGATTAGTCACTTCCAAGATAAAAAAAATACAAGTCGAATTTTAAGTTGGCAAAACGGCAAAACCCCCCCCGGGCTCAAAGCTGGAATGTCATCCTGTCATTCTCCTGTGATGTCATGGTTGTTTTGGCTTTGACATTTATGCTGTTTTGATGAAGTTTTTCTAAAGTAGTGTGTAAATTATGTGAATTTTTAGAAGTAGGTGTTTTTTTTGTATAAAATGACATTAATAGGTAAGTCTACCTACTTTTTCTGAACTTTCTTAAGTGTCGCATTGAGATCAGTTTACGCTTCCTTGTTTACGAAATTTACCTTTTCCATTAAATAGAAAAACCTATTTTTAAACAACACACAAATATAATATGTTTGGAGTTATATAAGGAATCGATGATATTTTGATTATATCGTGTTTTATTCAATTATTAGTCAGTTATTTACGGAAGAAAAGCGGAAAGGGTTGAAGGTCTCACGGATTACTCATAAATAAGTGGAGAAATTAGGAAATTACTGTCAAATATTGTAACTGGTCACAAAAAAAATCATTTTAAAGCGTTGATATAGTATGTGGTTATATTTAGTTACATCTAGCAAAGCAGAACATTGTATACTACTTTGAATCTAGTCTTCAGTCACTTTCTGATACTAAAATAAGCAGAGTTTGCTCACAGATTCATTTCTCTAGTTGAAATTTGGGTTACGTTGTGCAAAAAAATAACATTCTGTATCTAATAGCAGGTGTTCTGTAGTGAGACTCTAACTCTATCGGTGTGCCATTAATAGATTGATTTATTAAATAATTTATGTAACAAAAGTAAGTATTCATTGTGATATTGCTAGTGAAAATTTTTATATATTTTTTTTAGCACTTTTTATTAATTTTATCTGCTTTTAATTTGATATATTTCAACTTATTTCTATTATATTAATATTTTTTTTGCATTTTCTTAATTGTCTAACCACAAAACCAAATACCAAAGTTGATAAATAACATGTGATAATCAGTTAATTATTATTAAGTAGAGTGTTGAAATTAAATTTCTATCTATGCTGTTTTTTAGATATAATTCAATGCCTCGGTATTAGCCAAAGGAGTAGTTATTTTCCGAAGGGAAATGATCACTCCTATTATTGTGTGACACATGGCTTGTAGAATTTCTTGTTTTCTTTAATTTTAAATATTATTCTATTCGATTTGAAGTTAAAAATAGTGAATAATTAAGAATGGACACACAGTATTTAGAATAGTTAAATTAATTTTAGGTCTGCAGCAATTTACATCAATTTTTATTTATAAAAATATGCAATACTGGAAATGGAATTCAGCTATTTAAATCGAAAATATATTTGAATTTAATGAATCCTACATTTTTAAGATTATTAACTTTCCTGCTGTATGTGAAATGTTTAGCACTACTACCTTGATTAAATAATTCAATTCTATTTGTGTATATGGCTCAAGGCATATGCATAATCAACTGTTCATTCTTTCATTCACAGGTTATTTAGTTTTGAAAGGGTCTTTATCCAAATACAAAAATCAACAATAATTTGCTCTTCATCTCAAAATGTATCAATCTGTAAAATATATTAGTGTTTGTTAAAAAATATTAGATACATTAAAGATGTACTGCCTTTTCTAAATCTACGAAAGCATCATCAAGTCTCTTTCTCTACAAATATCACATAAAGTGAACATCAACATTTTATGGAAAACAAAGCCCTAAATGTTGTTAATGAGATTAAAGACATGCCATTTTTGATTTGCTAATGAGTATAGTACAAATATAATACTTAGTTAATATTATTTGTTGTGACTAAATTTTATTATTTATTTTATTCTAATTACTTACGATACCTGCTTTGCTATTGTTTAAAAAATGACAAGTTAAATAAAACTAAGGTATAATGAACTACATTTTATTCTAATACTACATATCAAAATATATTTATAATTTCCTATTGAAAATAATGAACCTTGAATCGTCGTTCATCATTATTTCCAAAATTATCTTCCGTAAATGTCAACACTGTAACGAAATCCTTTTCCGAAAGATGCGACAAGTTTAATTTTCACGAACTGCCTTCCAATTCCTCCATTTAGGATGTAAGCCTTCGCCCCAAGCCCGTCTAGAAATTTGTTACAGATCCTTAGAGCTGTAATGGTCTCGTGTCGGGAATATCCAGCTGGTAAATCTTTGGGATACTCAACGATTGATTCTCTGTATGACCACCATCTTCTGGGTTTAGTAAATTCCTGTAAAAAAAATCTTTATAAAAAAAGTATATTCATGGATAGAACAGTCACCTTTTTGACCTAACAAAGCGATAATTTTTACCTTATCCTCCTTATTCACCCGATTTGACCCTTTGCGATTTTTGTGTGCCCTGTATACAGTCAACGAAAAGCTTATGGGGACGTCGATTTTCAAAAAGTAAAGAAGATGTAGCTGCTTATAATGAAATTATTTGTAAAATTTAGAAAGTCTATTTTCTTTATCAAGTTGGTTTGACTGAATACAAAGGTGTATTTTTTCAAGAGCAGAAATTGTTTAAAATATTCAAATAGTCTCATTGTATTTAAGAAACTTCAGCACGAAGGAGACAGTGGATCAATACAATTTAAACTAAACATATTGCAATTTTATAATATACCATTTTGCCTCCTTAAAATCTGAAGAATGTGGTTAATGGGAAAAGGACGTAGCAATAAGAAACTTTAATTCATTATAAATTACCGACGTGTCGGCGTTTGTTTTACGTCTTTATCGAGGATTATTAAATTAGTTAAAACCAGACACATGAAATTTTGCGAAAAAGTTCAAATAATACATTAAAATAATAATTGTATTAAAATAAAAATCGCAACGTCAAATTTTTGAAGTTAAAGTTTCTTATTGGCACGTCCTCTTCCCTTTAATCTTAACCTATTTCACAGCTTTATTTTTATTAAAATGGTTGTGAGATCTTTGCAAAAAATTCGAATGGCAAGATTTACAACCTTTTTTAATATAATTATTTTTTTTTAACTTTTTATAAGACTGTATAATTTTCTGGTAACATTCTTGCACCAGATAACATTTATTTAGGCATCGCAAAAGTCAGAAGTGGGTTGAACGTCTTTTGAATAATTATTTGGAAGACCGCACCATTATTTAGCATAAACATTAATTACAATTTCATTTAATTTTGTGTTTTTATTCAGTTGTTAACGTTAATTAACAGCCCAATGAAATCGGATTCTAGTAGCTCATACACACACACACTGAAATTAGGTATACTCGTTATATTCATAAATAATTTACAGAACATAAAAATGTTGAATAAGTGTTTCTGATATTCCTTTAGAATTACTCTATTTAATCAGTGGACTGGTTGAGATATTTATTTGTTCAAGAATTCTAATCATGCCTCGTTCGTCGAATTAATATGCTACAAGGGTCATGCTAAAACTTTTTAAGGAAGATTATTCAAAATGATAGACTTAGTAAAAAAATTCAGAAATCTACAAAATTTTGTAGGTTTTAAGGACATGTCGATTTCTATTTTGTCAAGCTCATTATGTAATCTGTATCTTGCTTTATACAAATGCTGGTAGAGCTTTAAGCCGGCTACTCACTACGCGTTACTTGCCAAGTACTTTGCAAGTACCATGTAATGTGTATGGAGACTTGTATAAACTCAGCAAGTTACTTGTACTTCCCGTCGGTTGTCGGTAAACGGACCGAAGTCATAGGATCCGAGTAAAGTTACTACTACTACTACTACTACTACTTTAGAAGGCGCGCGTAATGTAGACGATTTACTTGTACTCGAACAAGTACTTGCCAAGTTCAGTCCAAGTCAAGTAACTCGGCAAGTAACGCGTAGTGAGTAGCCGGCTTAAGGCGAGAGTTTAATTATTGCATTTAATTTTAGTTCCAAATGAATTTGAAACTATAAAAGATAAAGACCTAAAATTTGGCAGTCATTTTTTAAATAAATCAGAGCAATTTGTTGACACTAATATCAATAATGCAATTTGAGGGTTTTTGGATTTTCATATTTTAAGGGCGGAAAGGTGTGTAATAATTTGTATTAGGGTATCGATTTTTTAAAAATAGGGACTTATAAATTGGAATTGTAGTTACTCATTATAAGTAAATAAAGACGTATTTCAAGGTTTTTGGATATTCACATTTTAAGGAGGGGGAAATGGGGAGTATCGTAAAAATAAATAATAAATAAATATAAAAATAAATAAAACTAATTAAAAAAAAAAAAAAAAATAATAAAAATAATAAAAATAATAAAAATAAATAAATAAAATAAATAAAAATAAATAAAAATAAATAAAAATAAATAAAAATAAATAAAAATAAATAAAAATAAATAAAAATAAATAAAAATAAATAAAAATAAATAAAAATAAATAAAAATAAATAAAAATAAATAAAAATAAATAAAAATAAATAAAAATAAATAAAAATAAATAAAAATAAATAAAAATAAATAAAAATAAATAAAAATAAATAAAAATAAATAAAAATAAATAAAAATAAATAAAAATAAATACATATAAATAAAAATAAATAAAAATAAATAAAAATAAATAAAAATAAATAAAAATAAATAAAAATAAATACATATAAATAAAAATAAATAAAAATAAATAAAAATAAAATAAATAAAAATAAATAAAAATAAATAAAAATAAATAAAAATAAATAAAAATAAATAAAAATAAATAAAAATAAATAAAAATAAATAAAAATAAATAAAAATAAATAAAAATAAATAAAAATAAATAAAAATAAATAAAAATAAATAAAAATAAATAAAAATAAATAAAAATAAATAAAAATAAATAAAAATAAATAAAAATAAATAAAAATAAATAAAAATAAATAAAAATAAATAAAAATAAATAAAAATAAATAAAAATAAATAAAAATAAATGAAAATAAATGAAAATAAATGAAAATAAATAAAAATAAATAAAAATAAATAAAAGATTAATAAAAAATTATAAAAATTAATAAAAATTAAATTAAAAGTTAATAAATATTAATAAAACTAATAAAAATTAATAGATATATATTACTAGCTGCCCCGATCCGCTTCGCTGGAATTTCTCAAATCACAATTATTAAAAGTGAATAACAGTTTTCATTACTCGAGAGAATTTTTTTCATGCGATGCCTAGCAATTTTTTTTATTAATTATTAATAATTGTAGATTTTTATAATTTTAACTTGTTTTTATTTATTATTGGAGTAAGTTTGGTTTGAAATTCCATTTAATTGAGTGGTTGAATGTTAAAAAAATCAAACGAGGAGCGTAAATAAGAGAAAACAGAGCAACTCACTCACTGTACATGCAAGCAATGGTGCCATCAGTATCAAAAGCAATGTATTTTTTTTTTTTTTTTCGAAATTTAGTACTAACCTTCAAATGACTAACGTTACATATTTTAGTCAGCTGCGTCATTTAGTTTGTATTTGACAACTTTTACATTTTTACAAACATGAATAGGAAGACATATTATTTTTTAGTCCACCCTCGTAGCTAATCAATGAGTGCATTTTTTTATTGCCATTATCTTTACTGTCTTAATTTAATTACATGGATTTATGATACATTTATTTTATTTATAATTTATTTTTTAATTTTTTTTATTGTTAAATTGATTTTTTTTGTATGTACATCATATCGAAAGTGGTATAGCTTTATTAGCTATACTTCGCCTTTATATTTTAACTTTTATTATAATAAACATTTTAGAACAAAATCTACTAAAAAAAAAGTTGAGTTTAACACCCAAAACACAATATCGTATTCTTGGAATCTTATCAATCTCATACAAAATTATTTATGTGCTTCGTGTACCATTACTGGGTAGAGGTATGAATAAAAACCAGAATTCTAAATATGATACAGACGTACTGTAGTCATTCTGATACCATTTCGAAAATGAGGTGATTAAAGCAGCCAATAAGCTAACTAGAAAATCGAATTTTTTCATCCAACGAATTGTTTGGGTACAATTTAATAAATCAGACGTTTACTTATACAAACTATAGATTAAAATTAACTTTAGCTACATAATAAAAATCTGTTGATTCTGAAATTAAAACCGTGATTTTTTTATAGTTGTGTATGTTAGTTTTCACTTATTTGTTGTTTGAAACGTTTTTTGTCTATTATTTATAAATTATTACACTGTATGAAAGTACACCTGTACAACACGACTAAAAATGTTTACGGAATTTAAGTCGGTTTAAGAAAGCTTTTTATAATGAAATAAATATTCTTAGAAAATAGAGTGATCGTTCCATATACAGAGTCAGAGTGAAATGTACATAAGTTATTTGTAGGTGTGGGACACTAGCTATCGTCTTTAATTACCTAGATACAGGGTGTTTTATTGCAATTTCAAAAGGGCACCCTATTTTTCATTATACAGGTCATCGTATATTGCCATGAAGAAATTATTTTTTAATTTTAAAATTATCGAATTGTTAAAAAACTAAATTTTCGCCTCTAAAACGAAAAGCGCAAATTTGAATGGCCAAATTTTGTTAAGCTGGACCTGGCTTTTATGTATGATATATCGAGAAAAATCTATGTGGCAAACATGAAATGTTTATTCGGTCCGTGGTTGATGGCAGCGCCAACTAAAGTATTAACTAATGGGCGATATTGTGTATATTGACAGTATCATTTTTAATAGAATTCGCAATTTAAAAATATATTATTTTGTTTTAATGAAAGTATATGGATTTATAAAACAAGTGAAATTATTATATATTTTTATTACTTTAGCTAAAAAAAGTAAGTATACCCAATAAAAAGTGCACAGAATAGGTATTTGGGCAACAGTATTTACGAGAAAGTGTATGAAAAGTTGCCTAATAAGGTTAAAGGTTAATGTCAAACGTGGAAACAAAATTAATTCAAAAAAAAAAGTTGTAATAAGTAAATTGTATTTGTATATTTTCGAATATAATTTATATTTAGTTTTTTTTTTTAGTTTGAAAGAATGGTGGAATTAGTTATGAAAACTGGTTTCTAATCAATCAGTCATAAAATTGTATTACATATAGACACTATTCGAAGCCATAAATCTATCCTACCTAAGAGATTTTGCAGAAAATCGTACAATAATAATTGTTTAAGTATTTAAAATCTTTCAGTTTTCTGATGTCTATTATTTTCAATACTACTGTTTTTACAAAAAATAAAAGTGTGATAGGTAGTAGGTAATTACTTTTCCCT